CCCTCCACCCGCCCACCCAGGTCCCCATCAAGTGGATGGCGCTGGAGTCCATCCTGCGCCGGCGCTTCACCCACCAGAGCGATGTCTGGAGCTATGGTGCGTTCCCGTGCTGGCTGCGGTGGGGCAGGGGGTCCCAAAGCGACGCTTACCCCATGTCCCCGTGTCCTCAGGTGTCACTGTGTGGGAGCTGATGACTTTCGGGGCAAAACCCTACGATGGGATCCCAGCGAGGGAGATCCCCGACCTGCTTGAGAAGGGCGAGCGGCTGCCGCAGCCGCCCATCTGCACCATCGACGTCTACATGATCATGGTGAAATGTGAGTGGGGGGACGTGGGGACACGGTGGCCAGGATCCCACCGCCCCCCTCACGGCGCTCGGCTCTGCCCCAGGCTGGATGATCGACTCCGAGTGCCGGCCCAAGTTCCGTGAGCTGGTCACCGAGTTCTCCCGCATGGCCCGCGACCCCCAGCGCTTTGTGGTCATCCAGGTACGGGGTCCCGGGGGTCTTGCCCTCAGCCGTGCCCCAACAGGCACTGACAGCCCCCCCTCACCCCCAGAACGACATGATCGGGCTGCCCAGCTCCATGGATAGCACCTTCTACCGGGCGCTGCTGGAGGAGGAGGACATGGATGACCTGGTGGATGCTGAGGAGTACCTGGTCCCTCACCAGGGCTTCTTCAGTGCTGAGACCTCCACTGCCTACCGCAGCCGCATCTCCTCCACGCGGGTATGGGGCAGCTTGGGGCAGCGTGCTGCTGCAGGGTCCACAGGGTGCAAAGTCCCCAACGCTACCTGGAGACCCCGCAGACCCCGTGCGACCCCACGGCGCCGTGCCCGACTCCATGCCCTCTTGCCTCCTCAGAGCACGGCGGAAACCCCAGCCGACACAACAGAGGGTGAGGAATCAGCTGCCTTCCCCTTCCCACCGCAGAGCCTGGTGGAGGGGCCAGAGTGCCCTGTGCCAGAGGCTCTGGAGGTGGATGTTGGGGCCAAGGGAGCCCTGCCGAGCCCCCCGGCCACACGGTACAGCGAGGACCCCACTGCGCTGCCGGGTGATGAGAGCGAGGGTCTGGACCCCGAGGGCTTCGCCCCCCCAGCTCCCCATACCACTATGCCAGGTAGGGCAATAGGGACCCTGGGAAGGAGGCAAGGACCCTGCTCGGCCCCTGACACGTCCCTTGTCCCTGCAGAGTACGTGAACCAGGCTGGGGAGCGGCCGTCACCCCCCCGGCACCCCTGCGCACCGCCATCCCCACCAGACAAGCCCAAGGGCCACCAAGGCAAGAACGGGCTGATCAAGGACACCAAGCACCCCTTCCTGGGGCCCTTTGGCCGCGCCGTGGAGAACCCTGAGTACCTGGCCCCCCCGGGGCTGCCGGTCCCCACCGCCTTCAGCCAGGCCTTTGACAACCCCTACTACTGGAATCAGGACCCCCCCAAAGCCGGGAGCCCTGAGGGCGGACCCGGCTCCACGCCGGCAGCTGAAAACCCCGAGTACCTGGGTTTGGCTGAGCCTGAGGACGTGGCTGTGTAGGGCAGGGCCGCCGCTGGACCCCCCTTTCACCGAGGCAGCTTGGGGAGGGACGGCGTGAGGCCGGCGGCGGATGTGGGGCCGGGACTGCCCCCTCTGCAGGGAGTGCACTGTGCTGCAGGAGAGCCCAGGGCACCGTGGGACGGTGCAGCAGCACAGGGGTGGGCGCAGAGGACCCTCAGAAGGAGCCCAAAAGCCCCACCGAGATGGCTGCTCACACGGTTCCTCGTGGAAGGAGGAAGATGGAAGCAGCATCACCCCGACCAGCACAGGACTGGGAGCCCCATCACACTGCTGTTCCTCACCATACACCCGTCACGCTGCCGCTGTCCCAAAGGCTCCTCCGCCACCGCTGTGCCCCAGCCCCCTCCCCCCCGGCGCCCAGCTGCGCTGGACACACTGACTTGCACTGAGCAGGTGGATGCTGGGCTGCCCGGGCTCCTGCTGGATTCCTGTGAAGCTGACGGCGTCGCACCTGGATGTATATTTGATCATTGTATATGATTTTTTTCTTTTTTTTTTTTCTACTCTGCTGGCTCTGCGTGCTTTGCTCCCGTCTCCTCCATCAGCTGCTGCCACCACAGCACTGAGGGAAAGCCCTGATCCCGCTGGGCTGCAGCCAAGAACAGGGCAGCAGGGAGCTGACCTAGCCCTGCTTTCACTGCCCGCCTCCCCACCACGCTCTCCAGGGACGCAGGAGAAGAGGAGCAGTGTTTTCCTCCATCCTTTATTCAGCACTGGATCGTGGGGCTTACAGACAGTACATAATAAATAGGGGGAGGCCACCTCGGCTTGGCCACGCTGCCCTGGGCTCAGCCGCCCTGCGGCAAAGGGCAGAGTCATTACGTGGGGAGGGTGAGAGCCAGGAGCCTGGGAACAGGGCAGCAGGAGAAGCTCGTGGCCGTTAAACGAACCCCGGGGCTGTGGGGATAGAGCCAAGCAGGGCTTCCCATGGCCAGCCGGTCCCTGCTGCCCTCGTACCTGTTTAAACAGTGATCAGAGAAGCTGTAATCATTAACGAACCGCACTCAAGTTTACGTTCCTCTGCATAAACCTTTGGGAGCTCTGAAGCCGCCGCGTTCCCTCTGACGGTCAGGTTGGGCTGGGCGTTCACTGGCCTCACAGGTCAGGGGGCAGCGGGGCTGTGAGTGCCCCAAACCCCCCAGGGGCTGAGGATGAGCCCCTCTGCGCTGCTGCTGGAGGGAGGGGCAGGAGGGGAGCAGGCAGGTAAGTGCCACGGTTACAGCCCACATGTGGTGCGGACGCGGCCTCAGGAGATGGGCAGAGCTGGACCAGTGACAGCAGCACCATGGCAGCTCCCCTCCTTATGCTCCCGCATTCCTCCAACGTCCCCAGGGGTGCAGGAAGTTTAACGGGGAGCAGCAAAGCACGGGGTGCTGAGGGGACAGGAGACCCCCACCAGGCGCGGGGCTACAGGATGATGCAGGGGGGGCGGCTGTTGGTGATCTTCTCCAGCGGTTCCCCATTCCTGGCTCTGCGGATCGCTTCGATCAGCTGTGGGGATGAGGGGGGGCACATGTGTGGCTCTCAGTTGTCCCACACCGCTGAGCCCCCACCCCCCACACAGCCCAGGGGGCACCAGGCCGGGTACTCACGTCCTTCTCATAGGGAAAGCCTCCGTTCTCCAGCTTGGAGAAGACCAGCTGCCCGTTAATCTCAATCTCAAAGGCGCCTTGTAAACAGAGGGAGCCATAAGCTGTGCCCCCCCCCTCACTCCCATCCCCACCGCCCCAAACCGCAGCAGGATGGGGCTGAGGGATCCTGAGGGGAACAGATATGGGGCTGAGCTCAGCCCACGGCCTCCAGCGCTCAGGGAGTGAGGTACAACCCCCCTCCACTCCCCTCCCACCTCTGTGCGAGGTTGTAACGGGCTCAGTCCCAGCACCCCCCAGCAGGTGGGGCTGAGACCCAGTGCAGCACCAGGGAGGGGAAACACAGACAGACACCCGCGCACGGACGGACACACGCACCTTTCCTCATGGGAAACAGCCAAAGCCCCCCGGGAGCCCCTGTACTCCCATAGGAAAATCCAAAGCCCCCCCGAAGACCCCGAAGACCCCCGCCCCGGAGCTCACCGGTGCCCCCCAGGCGGGACTCGATCTCGATGTCGGGGTATTCCTCCCGCACGGCGCTCGCCAGCTCCTCGTAGGTGGCCCCGAAGCCGCAGGGTTCGCTGCGGGTGGGATTGAACCCAAAAGCTGCGTCCCTCCCCTCCCCTCCCCTCCCCTCCCCGCTCCACATCCCCACATCCCGCCCGCAGCTCCCCGCGCTCCTTTCAGCACCGCCGCAGCCCATCAGGGCCCTTCAGCCCCCCCACCGATGTGGCAGGGCCCTCACCAGTACTCCACCATGATGTGGACCCGCCGCTCCGAACCGGAACTGGAAACAAAACCGTCACCAGCCTCGGTCTCGGTCCCAGCGGTCGCCGCTCCGTTGCCGCCGCCGCTGCTCATGGCCGCACTCCTGCCGCCGCTTCCGGGTGCCGCCACGTGACACGGAGCTTCCGGCCGCTCTGCACCGCCCTCTCGTCTGCTCCGCTTCCTCCGCGTTACCGCCCTCTGCTGGCGGGAGGGACGTATAGCACAGGGACGTGCCGCTGCCCCCTGCGGAGTGTGGGGACGCAAAGGGACCTCATGGGGACACGCGGAGATCCGTGGGGCACAGAGGGACCTCGAGGAGATACAGAGAAACCCCCCTGGGGACACAGCGACCCTCCGGGAGCTCCACAGGCCCACGGGGGATGTGCACAGAACCACAGAGCCTGCACTGCACCTGTAGGACCTCCACTGACCTCCCTGCCGTGGGACCCCCACGGTGTGACCCACAGCCCGCAGCCCCACAGGACCCTCACGGGACCCCCAGGGCACCCTCGGGATCCTCCGTAGAGGGAAACCCCGTGGGGACCCCCTCTGGAGACTCAATGACCTTCTGGGACCCCCAGCACCCGACAGGGATCCCCTGTGCCTCCTATGGGGGAGGCCCCCAGACCCACAGGGACACCCCTGAGCCACACGGGGACCCCACATCCCCCATGGAGACCCACGGGCACCCTCAATGCATCTCCAGCCATGTGTGCCTCACATATCACCCAGGAGACCCCCACAGATGCCACTGGGGACCCCCATCCCCACTCCAGCCCCCCACACATGGTTCCCACTGAGAGCCTCCCGCCCCACACCTTGGCTGGCCGCCCTGCGGGGCAGAGGCGGGCAGGGGAAAGCATCCCCCCATCCTGCATCCCACCCACCTCTGCCCCACATCTTGGCCGGCCTCAGGGTCACCCCAGTGCATTGTGGGAAACTCCCCATCCCCTGTGGGACCAAAGCTGGGCTGGTCCCATCGCGGGGCCGTTGTGGGGCCGCTGTGGGGCCGCGGCCGCCCCGGTGCTGTGATGTCAGGCGGGGGCGGGCGCTGGCGCAGGTAGATAAAGCCGGGGAAAAACAGGAATGCCCGGTCCGGCGGGAGGGCGGCAGGAAACGGCGAGAGCTGCAGGTAGGAGCGGGGTTGGGGTGAGGGTCCCTGTGCTGGGGGGCCGCCAGGCGCTGCTCCCATCTCCCCCATCCCGGCCCTTTTCCCCTCGTCTTCCTCCTGGCTCCTCTTCTTCCTCCTTTGCTGCCAACGCCCCGTAGTTACAGGAATCCCAGTTCTACGGCACCGGCACCCAGCCAGCCCTTACCCGCAGCCCATGGGACCCCGTCCCTGTAGCCTTGGTGACCCTCTAACCTCATTCCATAACTCTGGTGGCCCTGGAAACCGTGCCCTATAGCGCTGGTGGCCTTGGGATCCCACCCTTTCCTCCTGGCGGCCCTGGGATCCCGTCTCTTTAACCCTGATGGACCTCAGACCCCATCCCTTAAAACCAATGGCCCCAGGTATGTTGTCCCATAACTGTAGTGGCCATTGGAACCAATCCTTGACTCTGTTGGCCCTATGGGATACAGTGCGGTGACCCCCATCTCCCAGCCCCACAGCCCTGTGTCCCTTAACCCCGGTGGCCCTGCTTCCCCCACCCCATAGCCCCAAGGCCCTCCCTTTGTCCCAGACCCCAGGGATATTCCATGTCCCCCATTGCTGTCACCACCCTGCCACAGCCACTGGGTTGGGGTAACCTGAGGCCATGGTGAGGGGCTGGTGGAGGTGGGGCTCTGTGAGGTCCCCATCCACACCCCACCCACCCCCAACACCTCTGTTATCCCCTTTGTGTCTCTACTTTAAGAGCTAGGCAGGGACACCAAGCCCACAGCACCCAGAGCTGGCAGGGTTTTGGGATGAGGGGAGAGAGCAGTGGGACGGGGCTGAGGCTGGGATAATGATGTGGATGGGACGGGGATGGGGATGGTGGTGGCCCCGCGCATCTCAGTGCCACAGCGCTGTGGCACCACGCAGGCAGGGCCCCGGTGCCCACCCAGCCGTGGACTTGGATCTCACAACATCGCCATCGGGAAGTGGGGCTGGAGCGGCCGCGGGTGAATGATTAACCCCGAGTGCCACCAGCACGGCACGGTGCCACACACGCGTGTGTTACGTGTGCCGCGTGCCAGGCGGCCGCACCGCTGCGCCGGGCTTTGCTTGCTTCTGCTTGTCCTGGGCAGCGTGTGCCGCGCCATGCCAGGCCGTGCCCATCCACACCGAGCCGTGCCAGGCAGAGCCACGCGGGGTCCCCTGGAGCACCGCCGTGTCCCCGTGTCCCCTGCATGTGTGGGTGCTGGCAGCGGGCGCGGAGCCATGGGCGAGGGCGGCACGGCGCGGCGGGGGGCCGTTCCCACGGCAGTCTCCGTCTCCTCGCCCCCGGCCCCGGCGCGGCACGGATGCCAGCACGGTGAGGTGGAGCTGGGAGCGGCCTCCAGAACTGGTTTGGCCGGACCCGAGGAGGTGGCTGGGCTGGGCCGTACCGCGCCGTGATGACGGTTGTGCCGGCGCGGCGCTCGCGGCTCGGCTCATCCCGGCACAACACGGCACGGTTCATCCCGGCACAACACGGCGCAGCCCAGCTCGGCCCACTTCAGCCCAGCCCGGTTCAGCCCGCTTGGCTGGTTTCAGCCCAGTTTGCCCCAGTTTGGCTCAGTGCAGCCCTCTCACCCACCGCCTTGGCACCACCAGTCTCCCACTGGTGATGCTGGAGCACTGGAGCGCTTCCCGCATGGGAAATGGAGGCGTGGGAGATTCTCCATTGTCTCATATGGAGCTGCGCTCTTCACTGCAGTGCCGAATCTTTGGGCTGAGGACGGCGGCACCGGCAGCACGCAGCCCCCTGGGGGTGGGCAGGGGCGCCGAGGGGGCAGGTGGAGCAGTGCTGAGTCACCCCCACACTGACTCACAGCACTCAGCACCAGTGAAACCCACTGGGATGCTGCTGGGTGGGATCCAGCTGCAGCCCCCATTCTCTGCCCTTCAGATGATGCCATGGACGGGGGGGCCCAGCAGAGCTGTGTCCGGGACCCCCCCGAGGTGGGCAGCGTGGAGCAGGAGGGGGACGTGGGCGAGGGGCCGCCTGCCACCGACCTGCGCCGCTCGCAGCCCCTCTTCATCCACAGCACCAGGTGGGTGCGAGGGGCTCAGCCCTGCGGTGTGGGGTGGGCTGGGGGGCAGACAGGGGGCTCAGCCCATCTCTGCCCCACAGCCGGCCGCTGTCAGAGGAGGAGCCGCGTGCCTCATCACTGCCCAACATCCCCAACCCCTTTCCTGAGCTCTGCAGTCCTTCCAATTCGCCAATCCTCAGCAGCCCCCCTGGCGGGCAGGGACCCCCCCGTGAAGGCGCCTGTCATGTGAGTGCCCAGCGGTGGGTCTGGGGGCTCCTGGGAACTCCTGCAGGATAACGGGGCCCTGACCCACCACGGTCTCACAGCTGGTGAAGGTGTTCAGCGAGGACGGGTCATGTCGCTCACTGGAGGTGTCAGCAGGCACGACAGCACGGCAGCTCTGTGAGATGCTGGTGCAGAGGACGCACGCGCTGCACGACCACAGCTGGGCCCTGGTGGAGCTGCACCAACACCTGGCACTGGGTGAGTGCACGGCACGGCACGGCGTGGCACGGTGACGGCCCCTGCTGAGCCCCTGTCCCCACAGAGCGCTGCCTGGAGGACCACGAGTCGGTGGTGGAGGTGCAGAGCATGTGGCCCCTTGGTGCTGACAGCCGCTTCGTCTTCCGCAAGAACTTCGCCAAGTATGAGCTCTTCAAGAGCAACGCGGTACGTGAGCCACACTACAGGGCCCCGTCTCCCCACGGAGAGCCACAGGCGTCCCCTGACCCACCTGTTCCCCCCAGCAGTCCCTCTTCCCCGAGGTGATGGTGTCCAGTTGTCTGGAGGCAAATAAGAGCATGGCGCACTCGGAGCTCATCCAGGTATGACGGCGCTGGGCTCGGAGGCTCCTTGAGGACTCAACAATGCCATGGGGACCCAAACGTGACGCTGGGACCCAACTGTGCCACAGGGACCAATCTGTGCCATGAGGCCCTGCTGTGCCTGGCCGCCCCTCAGCCCCTGTCTCCCCTCCAGAACTTCCTGAACTCCGGGAGCTGCCCTGAGGTGCAGGGCTTCCTGCAGCTGCGCGAGGCCAGTCGCAAGGTCTGGAAGCGTTTCTACTTCTCCCTGCGCCGCTCCGGGCTCTACTACTCCACTAAGGGCACGTCCAAGGTGAGGTGCAGTCAAGGGCACCCCGAGCCCAGAGGCAGTGGGAGCAGCCCCTGATGCCCCCTCCCCGGCCCCAGGACCCCCGGCACCTGCAGTACTTCGCCGACCTCACCGAGTCCAACATCTACTACGTGACACAGGGCAAGAAGCACTATGGGACACCCACCGAGTTTGGGTTCTGCATCAAGGTGCGCCCCTTCTGGGCACCCTACCCAGCTCTGTGCAGGGTCTTTGCTCACTGAGGGGTGACAGGGACTTGGGGGCTTTGGGGGACTGCTTTGCGATGGATCAATCTGGCTTCGCCCCACAGCCCTACAAGGTGCGCAGTGGGGTGAAGGGCCTGAAGCTGCTCTGCAGTGAGGATGAGCAGAGTCGGACCTGTTGGATAGCAGCATTCCGCCTCTTCAAGGTGAGCCCCAGCTGGAGGGCGCTGGGGGGCAGTGAGGGGTACCAGAGTGATGCTGGTGGGGTGCTGGGAGGGCAGTGGGTGAGACTGGGGGATGCTGAAGTGTACTGGGAGGCACTGGGGAGGCACTGAGGGAGACTCACACCGCCATGCCCCCCTGGGGCACCCCCAGTACGGCATGCAGCTCTACCGCAACTACCAGCAAGCACAGGCACGCCTGAGCCAGCACCCCTGGATCACCCCCACGCCACTGGTGAGTGCCCCCCACCCTTCCAGGCGCAGCTCTGATCCACGGGGTGCCCCCCGCCCCCCAGCTCGCTGTCACTGTCCCCACAGCAGAGTGTGTCAGACAGCGCGCTGGTGGCCATGGACTTCTCAGGGTGCACAGGGAGGGTGATTGAGAACCCCAGCGAGGTGCTGACAGCAGTGCTGGAGGAGGCGCAGGCCTGGAGGGTGAGTGGGGGGCACAGGCTGGGAGCGGGACCCCCCCTCAGCGTGCGCTCACTCTGCTGCTTGCTTTGCTTTGCACGGCCAGAAGAAGACGACACACCGGTACAGCCTGCCTGCTGCCTGCCAGAGCTCCCCGCTCAGTGCTGGTGAGCAACACCTGTAGGCAGGAGCATGGAGACCCCCAGCTCAGGGGTTCCTGCCCGGAGGGGTGGGGGTCTCCTCCTGGTGACCCTCTCCTCTCCCTGCAGCCATTCATCGCACCCAGCCGTGGTTCCATGGGCGCATCTCACGGGAGGACACCCAGCAGCTCATCGGCCGCCAGGGGCTGGTGGATGGGTATGGAACAGGGGGGTCGTAGATGGGATCAGGGACTCCTTGTGTGCACACGGCCACTGGGGGTCGTGGGGTCCCACAGTTCATAAACGGCTCACAGGGGGTATAGGGAGGTCCTGGAGCCCAGGGGATGGGGGGGGATAGGATGGCAAGGTGGAGGGGGACATAGGGGTCACACTTGGCCCCTCGGGGCTTTGAGGTGACTCTGCTCTGGGGCTCGCAGAGTGTTCCTGGTGCGGGAGAGCCAGCGCAACCCCAAGGGCTTTGTGCTGTCCCTGTGCCACCTGCAGAAAGTCAAGCACTATCTCATCCTGCCGGTGAGTGCCATGGCTGCGGGGAGGGTATGCGGGGGTTGGGGGGAGGACAGCCAGGCCTGATGCTCACCTGCCTGGCAGAGCGAGGAGGAGGGACGGCTCTACTTCACCATGGACGACGGACAGACCCGCTTTGCTGACCTCATCCAGCTCGTGGAGTTCCACCAGATCAACCGTGGCATCCTGCCCTGCAAGCTGCGGCACTACTGCACCTGTGTGGCCCTATGAGCCTGGCGCTGCCGGCACGGCTTGGCACAGCTCAGCATGGCATCGCCGGCAGAAATTGGCACAGCTTGGCACGGCACTGCTGGCATAGGTTGGCACAGCTCAGCGCCGTGCTGCAGCACTGGCACAGCTCGACACAGCCAACACGGCACAGCACAGCCCTGCCGGCACACAAAGGCACCGCTCGCAGCAGTGAGCGCAGGGACGAGGGGGGCTCACCCCACACCCCGCTGCTGTGGCCCCTCACACTCTTGCACTTTGTCCCCCCCCCCAGCACCAGCCCCTCCATTCTCACGGGGTCATGGCTGCAGACCCCTCACCCCCATCTCCAGGGGGCTCGTGGAGTTGCTCCCCTCCCCATCATGAGGATGCGGGGCTTGGGGTCCCCACCACACCTCCCCATGCCCCCCCAAGGCCAGTCGAACTGTGATGTGTTTTATACAAAATGAGAATAAACGTTATTTTTTCAGAGCTCCTGTTTCTCCCCTTTCCAATGCCATCCTCATCCCTGTCGGGGGGGCTGTGGGGGTCAACCCCGTTGCATGGCAGCAGCTCCCCCGCACCACCACGTCCCCGCAGTGCCCCCCCGGTGCCACACAAAGGCCCCTCTGTGCACCACGTGCAGCTCAGCCACGAGGGCCCCGCAAATCCCAGAGCCGGGGAGGATTAGCGGGGTGGGGGGATTAGGGCTGGGATTTGGGGGCCAGCAGCTATTAAAGCCATGGCGTGGGTGGTGAGGCTGTGGCCATGGCTCCCCGCACTGTGCTGATCACCGGCTGCTCATCCGGCATCGGGTTGGCGCTGGCGGTGCGCCTGGCACGGGACAAGCAGCGCCGCTTCCGAGGTGAGCAGAGCAGGGGGTGCCAATGGCGCAGAGAGGGAGGACGGGGGGCTGATCCATCCTGTGCCCCCCACAGTCATCGCTACGGTGAGGAACATGGCCCGCAGCGGAGCGCTGGTGGAGGCGGCGGGGTCAGCGCTGGGCCGGACGCTGGAGGTGAAGCAGTTGGACGTGTGCGACGAGGCGTCCATCCGCGCCTGTCTCGACAGCATCCCCGGGCGCCGTGTCGATGTCCTGGGTGAGCCACGTCTCTGTGTGGCCCTGCAGCTCCCCACACAAGGAGCCCGGGTTGCTCCATGCACCAGGGACACCCCGTACTGGGGACATCTTGCACCAGGGACGTGCCGTGCTGGGGTCACCCCATGCACCAGGAGCATTCTGCATGTGGGTTACTTACTCCACACGTTGGGGACATTCCATTGCTGATGACCCTCCTCCCATGTGGCACTGGGGACCGGGAGCCCCTGGGCCAGCAGTGCCCCATGCACTGGGGACCCTCCACGCTCGGCGCACCGCAGTCCTTTTGTGCCAAAGAACCCCATTTCCTGGGGAGCCTCCGTCCCACACCTCTGTGCCAATGTTCCCATGTTGGGGAACCCCCATTCCAAGGGTGCCGGGGACCCCAGCTTGCCCTTAACCCGCCTTGCACCCCACAGTCAGCAACGCCGGCGTGGGGATGATTGGGCCACTGGAGTGCCAGAGCCTGGCGGCCATGCAGGGGCTGATGGACACCAACTTCTTTGGGCTGGTGCGCCTGGTGAAGGAGGTTTTGCCAGACATGAAGCGTCGCCGCAGCGGCCACATCGTGGTCATCAGCAGCGTGATGGGGCTGCAGGGTATGGGGGGACGGGGCGCTGGGGGGCTCCCCATCCTGCACACCCCCAACTGCCACTCCTTGCCCAGGCATCGTCTTCAATGACGTCTACGCCGCCTCCAAATTCGCCGTGGAGGGCTTCTGTGAGAGCCTGGTGGTGCAGGCACTGCGCTTCAATGTGGCGTGAGTGGGGGGCTGGGTGGTGTGTGGGGGGGGGTCTCAGCCACCATCATCCTCAGAATCCCACCCTGCAGCATCAGCCTGGTGGAGCCGGGGCCGGTGACCACTGAGTTCGAGGCCAAGGTGTACGAGGAGGCCGAGCGCGCCGACTACTCACAGACCGACCCTGAGACTGCTGCCATCTTCACCGACCTCTACCTGCGGAACTCCAGGGATGTCTTCGCCAGCCTGGGGCAGAGCCCTGAGGACATTGCAGAGGTGATGGCGGAGCTGCAGGGTGGGATGGGAGGATACAAGAGAGCTCAATTAGCACTAATGAGGAGTAGCAATTGGGCGGCGCTGGCATCTCCTGCATTGACTCCTTCCTCCTGCTCCTTAAAATCCCCCAAAGTGGGATGGGGATGGGGATGGGTTGGGATTGGGGATGTGGTGAGGATGGATGGGGATGGGGTTGGAATGGGAATTGGAATGGAAATTTGTGTGGGAATGGGAAGGGAATAAGGTGAGCATGGAGGTGGAGATGGGAAGGAAATGATTATGGGATAGTGATGGGATGGTGATGGAAATTTGGGTGGGAATGGAATGGCCATAGGGTGGGGCTGCAAATGATGGGGATGAGGATGGGAAATGGTGTAGAGATGTGGATGGGAGTTGGATGGGAATGGGGATGTGGTGGAGGTGGAATGTTGGTGGAAACTTGGTGGGAATGGGGATAGGATGGAGATGATGAGGGTGGGAATAGAATGGGGATGAGAATGTGAGCGGTACGGAAGTGAGGATGGGGAGGGAGATGAGGGGATGGAGATGATGGGATGGAGATGAGGGGAGGGAGATGAGGGGATGGAGATGAGGGGATGGAGATGAAGGGATGGAGATAAAGGGATGGACACGAGGTGATGGACACGAGGGGCTGGAGGCGGGGATGGGAAGGCGACCGCGCCGTCCTCATGTGCAGCACACACTGCGGGTGATCGAGGCGGCCCGGCCGCCCTTCCGGCACCAAACGAACGCAGCGTACACACCAATGGCAGCGCTGAAGCACGCCGACCCCAGCGGTGCACTCATGACCGAGGCCTTCTACAAACTGGTGTTCAAATACAGCGCCGTGCTGCGGCTCGGGCTGCGCGCCATCCGCCTGCTGCGCTGGAAGGCCCAGAAGGTGAAGGCGGGCGCCCGGCTGCTGGGCTTCAAATAGACCCGGTTACCCTGGATTCGGCCAGGGGTGGCGCAGGGGGCTGCGAGGGGCAAGCAGGGTCGGGAGCCGTGTGGTTTCACTTCCTGCTCCCAGCCCGAAGCAGCACCTGAAATAGCAGCGGTATTAAAATCGGGAGCGGTATTTTTAACAGCGCCGGGTGAAAGAGAGCAGCGGCTTCCTCCGAGAGCGCAGCGGCCGTGACAGGGCTGGGAAGGGCTTCAGCTGCACCCCCCGGCTCCTCCATCTGTGGGCACACAGTGCCACGGCCCCCCAGCATCCTTCTCCGAGCCTCTGATGCGGGGCTGGAAACGCACCAGGTTAGCGATGCACCGTGTTAGCAGCAATGCAGCGCGTCAGCATTGCATCCAGCTGGAAATACACCGAGTTGGTCAGTAATGAGTGCCCCCCCAGCTCCATTTGGAGCCCCGCAACATCAGGGCAGCACGGAGGGGCAACAGGACACTGCTGGATCAGCTGCAGCACTGGTGCAGGAGCTTTGGTGTAGAGATGGGAGCTGGGTGCACGGGGTGAACATGGATGCAAGGCGGGTGCACAGTGCAGGGGATAGTGGGGATTGCATGGTGAAGTCTGAACACGGAGTGCACGGCAGGATGAGTGCTGGGTGCAGTGTGTGCAGTGGGCGCAGGACAGACACAAACCAAGCAGCAGGAGTAGGGGCTGCTTGGTGTGCCGGGGGATCCCAGCACCCCACATCACCCAGGGGCTCCCCGAGGGGTGCTGGTGGGGGGGAGCAGGAGGAACTGCCCCTCCTGAGCTGTGCACCGGTGCATGAGCATGTGGCGTGACTGTGCCAGGAGGTGAGGGGGGGGGGCACACCACAGGGAGGCCCGGCACAGGTCAGCACCACTTCTCAGAAACCTTCCTGGCTCCCACTGCATTTCCTGCTGCAGGGATGCACAGCTGGCACCGCTGCAGGGCCCACAGTGAAGCCCTCCAGCCTGGCTCCAGGACCCTCACCCCATGCACGAGAAGCTGGTGGCAGCTGCAGCACCGACACCGTGCCCCAACAGCGCGCCCCACGCTCCCAACACTGCATCCATGCACCAACACTGTGCTCCATGCCCCAGCACCTTGCCCTTGCTGGTGCCACACACATCACCTCCCCACCCCCATTGGCTCTGGGTGCTTTGTGGACAGGATGGAGAAGGAAATATTTTTGCACGATTCCCCTCCCGTCTTGCACAAGTTAATGACAAAGCGGCCGTGGGGACAACAGCCCCCCCCCCCCCCCCCGGGGGGGGGGGGGGGGGGGGCCCCGGGGGGGGGGGGGGGTTTACTGAAAAAGGGGCCGGGGGGAAAACCCCCCCCCCCCCCCCCCCGTGGCTATGGCAACTGAGCAGCACCTGTGCGACGTGCAGGGGTGACATCAAAGCCTGCGATGCAGACACAGCCCCCCCTCCCCCACTGCGGTTTCTGAAGATTTGACTAACTTTCTCCACTCCAGGGGGCAGAGACGGGGGGGGGGGCTGCACCCAGCCCCAGGGAGCAGCAAGGGGGGGCCCCCAGCACAGAGCCGTAACCGTGAGGAACGGGGCAGGGGGAGGGCAGGACCCCCACGATGCCCCCAGCCTGCTCCTCAGGGCAGGGGGGGGGGGGTGGATCAGCCCCGATGCTGTGGAGCTGGGGAGGTCTGTTGGCTTCTCCTCCAGCTGCTGTAGGAAGGGGGAACCAAGCAGCAGGAAGGGGAGATGGGGAGATGCCGTAGGGTGCACCACTGGGGAGACAAAGTCACAGCTAAGGAGCATCTTCCTCATCCTGCCTGAGCTCCCCGGGTGCAGGCTGTGCCCCAGGGGGAAGAGCTCTGCTATAAACAAGCGCCTGCCGGGACTTTCCTGTCCCCACGTGTGACAATTGCCAGCCCCTCCATCCCCCGGTGCCCTCACTCCCCCGAGGGCTGCACTGGTGGCCCAGGTGCGTCGGCTCGCCGCAATGCAAATGTGGGGCCAGATATAACCCTGCTGGCAGCAATGGGGGCACGGGGCAGGACGTGTACCCACTGCCCCCACCATGGCACTGCGCACATGGCTTCGCCCCAGAGACAACACAGAGCTGGGCTCAAACCCCATTTCCCCATGGCTTTGGGGAGCAGGTCACAGCAGGTGCCGGGGAGACACTGGAGAGCTGAGACCCACAGGATGAGGTGCTGCGGCCCCACTCACCTCCTGGACGCAGCCCCACAGCCGGAGGGGACGTTTCATGCACCACAGAGTGAGTTTCAACACAACGGGGGAAACGAGTTCCCCTGTGCTCTATCACCACTACAGCACAGCGGGCGATAGGGATCTCTCTGTCATAACACCAACTGAATCTGGGGCTTCTAAGGGCCTTTGGGTGTGGGCAGGGGGGCTTTGATGCATCAAAGCAGCACTTCTGTAGGGAGGAGCCGAGGTAGAGACACCCCCAGGGCTGTGGGACATCAAGCAAGGCGAAGCGACCCCAGCTGCCCACACTCTGCTCAGCCTGGGTCAGTGCCACGCTTTCTGCAGTTTTCCCGGACACGGCAGAGAAATGGCACACGTGGAAATACACATTATTTTTAATAGATGACTGGGTCGAAGTTCCACAATTATGTCATTGTTCAACAGCAACGAGCAACCACTCATTAACGCCAGACAGCGCGGGCTGAACCGAAACGAGCGCCTTGTGCCGAGAGCACGAAAACACGACGGTGCCACAGCGGGAAACGGCGCCTTTGGGCTCCTCCTGAGCCCCACAGAACCCACAGCGCTGCTCCTGCTGAGCTCCTGAGGCCGTGGGCTGCTTCTGGTCCTGCCTGGGGGGGAATGAAGGGCAACTGAGGTGTTTTCCTGGATTCAGTGGTGATGTGAGAAGGAAAGCAGTGTGATACACGCTCCGCAATCCATGCTGCTCCCCGTGAAAAGTGGAGAGATGCTTTTTGCTGACTGGTGTGCATGGAACCGCTGTGTCCCCATGGAGCAGCATGAAGGAACGGGTGCTGAGCAGAGAACTGGCCAAAACGGGGACTGCTCTGAGCCTTCCCAAGCACAAGGCTTCAAAACCAGTTCTCCTTCCTCACCCCTGTGGATAAGCAGGACCTCGCACTCCTGCAGCGCTCTGCACAGCAGCTGATCGATCCGTCCTTCCTGGGACGTGGCCTTGGTTGGACTTAATGATCTTCGAGGTCTTTTCCAGCCGTAACGATTCCGTGATTAGTGGGGAAAAAATGAATAATTTCCACTTTGCACCTTGAGCTTCAGGGAGGCGGCACCCAAGGGAACAGAGCAAGGCCAAAGGCAGAATGAAATTGGGCATTTCTGACCCTTCACACTCCATCTGGAGCTCTGCACCCCGACCCCCCCCCTTTGCAGAGGGGCCATCACAGCTATCACACTGCCAAAGACCAGAGCGGTGTTGGCATGGAGCAGCGTAGGGGACGTGAAAAGTCCACGGGAACACATCCTGCTCCTACAGAAACACTTTGCCAGGAATAACCGCACTCAGCAGAACCGTTATCACACCAATCTCCCGCACCATGACTAATAGACAGCTGCAGAGCAGCGATCAGATGAAAAGAATCATCTTACAAACCGGCTTCAAAGTCATCACCGATGCCCGCGTTGCAAAGCGGCGCCTTTCAGCCCCAGGGAGATCCCCACGTCCGAGCGGACGGAGCTGCACGCCCCACACACGTGTGCTGAGATCTGCCAGTACCGCTGTGGGATGGGTGGCTCTGTGTTTGGTGGCCACGGGGAAACAGAGGGCACGGTGTGGCCATGAGCTCCAGCGCAGCTTTGTCCTCCTTCATGGTGTGCATCAGGGTTTCCCATCCACGGAAATGGGGATTTCCCCCAGCTGGCACGTTGAGAGCCAAGCGGGTATCCGGAGTACATGCATCGCTGACAAACCCCAGCCCCACAATTGGGTTTTGCTGCTCCTTTTGCTCCGGGCGAGGTGCACGTGGGGAGAGGCTTCAAAGAGGCAGAGTGGTGAGAAATGAGGGGGATGGGATGGGACCATGTGTGCATCAGACTTGGGGAAAACCTCTAAAAATGAATGAATAATCCCTCCCAGGCGAAGTTTTCTGTGTTTTGGTGATGAGAACGAGTTCTTCCTATACATCTGACCAAGCAGAGCAGCTGGCAGTGGGGAACGAAAGCCTTTCACGCCGTTAAAGCATACACCATGAAAACAAATGCACGTTAGAAAAATAAAAAACGCCTTAAAAGGCTCTTAATTTCCATCAGGTTCATACAAAAGCCAGCCTGTGCCTGTGGTACGCATCGCACCGCATCGGCACAGCAGCTGGGCACGGATGCTACAAAACACTGAATAATCTTGTTAAAAAAATAATAGAAAACATAAAAGGCGTCGTCGCCTTCTGGCACTCAAAACCGGCGTAGGAAAACGCAGGAGGTGGTGTTGGTTTGAGCTCTGTGAAGCCAGGCGGGTTCCCTCGTGCCGATGCCGTTTATTTGAGCAGCACGCGATGCTCCCCGCGCGCGATGTGCGAGGAGAACTCGTAGCGGTCGTGGCTGCGGTACCCGCAGACGTTGCACTCGAAGGGGTCGCGGAAGCCGTGGCAGCCCATGTGGATGGTGAACATCACGTAATCCAAGAACAGCACCCGGCAGTGGTCGCAGCGGTAGGCGCCGATGGCCTCCCCGTCCTTGTTGATGACCTTGAAGGCGTCGCGCGGGCACACGGCCGGCGGTTTGATGATGTCGTAGGGCCGGGGGAAATCCTTCAGGGCCGGCAGGCCGTTGCGGGGCACGGGGAGCACCGGACCCTGCGGGAAGGGGGGGTTGGGCCGCTCCTCGTGGTTGCTGTCCGTGTCCGTGGAGTCGTGGCCGCTGTTGTTGGGGGACAAGGCGCGCTCCCGCAGCGGGACGTGGCTCTTGTCGTCGCTGCCATTGGGGACGTCGGCACGGGGCAGAGCGATGGGGTACAGCGTGCTGATGACCGGGACCATCTCGGGGGTGGGAGCCGGGGGGGTCTGCACCAAAGGGCGCAGGGCTTCGGCCCCCAGGAAGGAGATGGCGTTGTTGATGGCCTGGTCCATCATGCGGCCCTGCACGATGTCGCCTTCCTTCTCGTAGGCGAAGGATGAGTTGTAATTGACGTCAAAGCTGTGCCGCTTCTCACCTGCGGGAGAGGAGGTGTCACATTAGCGGGGGGTGGAAGCGGTATGGAAGATCTGTGATGCTGCTCCAGAGAGCTGCAGGCTCTGGGAAGCAAAGGGGAAGGACAAATCTGCTGCAGAAATGGGGAACATCGAGCACGGGTTCCTGCTGGCCTTTTGAAGAGCGGGCTTGGGAACAAAACTCTACCAGGGGAGGTGGTGGAGATATGGGGCAGATGGGCACCATTGCTGTCAGGCTGTTCTGGGATCTAAGGGAGAGAATATCCCCAAGAAAATCTTCCATGCATTAATTCCCATCATTTTTTTTCCTAGAAGAAGTCAACATCATTGATAAAAATTGTCGTAGAAGAGCCAACCAATAAAGAACCCAAACACTCCACGTTTTGTACCAAGACCTCAACCCTCCATTCTGGCCCTGTCTCCTTTCTCATACCAACACCAGCAGAGGTTGAGTGCAGCCCCACACTCACCCGACAGTCATTCCTTACGCGCCGTTAGGCATCGACGTGCTGTTAAGACAATTAAACCCTCCTGACAATCACCGCCTGCCCCGCTGCCTTTGACCTCAGCAGAGGTTTCCAGGCATCCAGCAGTTATCTGCCTATGTGTACACAGCACAGGTCTGTAGAGCCCAACAAAGAGGAGCACGGTGTGTCCCTGCCTGGGTGTGATGGAGCTTTGGGAGCTCTTGGGTTGGCAGATGGAGGGGATTCGAGTGTGGCTCCAGGAGGGGCCATGGGCCGCGTGGGCAGCTCACCAGAGCCTCTGCACCAGGTGCAAGGAGGGGAGAAAACTGCACCCAGAGGAGCTCGAGTCACTTTTTGATGAGTATCTAGAAATAACTAACCGAATTCTGCGGTTACGTGAAACAGAATCATTCACTCAACAGCAACAAAGAAATAAAAAGGACCAAGTGCTTCATGTGCAACTGGCTTTCAAGCATCAGATCCACTAAATCTCTTAGTTACGGTAACTGGAGAAGTGCAGAGATGTTTATCAGTCACCTGTCAACACCGTGACTCAATGTATATGAAACTCTTCAGGTTTCGCTGCAGAAAGCCAGGAGCTCACGTTTCTCTTATAAAACACTCAGAAAGGTTACAGAACCACAAGGGTAACTGCTTCCAGCCCTCACCCAACTTGTGATCCATCTTCACACAGAAGGCAACAAAGTGATATAGCACATTTGTGTGACTCATAGAGCAGCTCTGGGCGAGTGAGATGTGAAAAAAAGCGAAAGAAAAAAAAAAACAACACGTGTAGCAAAAGCAAAAATACATCGAAATCCCTACAGATTTGGAGAGAAAACTGAGGGCAAAGATGCAGCAGCAGGGAAGGGAGTGCGTGGCGATGGGACGGGACGTGCTGCGCCCAAGGCCGGGACGTTTTGTCTTTGCAGGAGGAAAACTGAGAGGATTATTCTGAGCAAAGCTGCCACAGGAAGCATCGCGGAGTCGTTGCAAATGGCCAAATTAAATACTGAATGCATGGGACTCTGCTGGTTCACACAGCAGCCAGTGGGGAGCTGAGCATCCCCGTCAGAATTCACAGCTGAGCCGTAGCGGATGACGGGTCTGCAGTGCTGCTGGGCTTGCTCTCAAACACGCATCAGGTCCTGCAATGCGATGAGCTGTGGGCACTGGGAGCAGGGAGGGCAGCGGCTTCCTGCCCCCTAACAGGGCAGCTTCTCATCAGCCCTGTGCACAGGGCGGGGGGTGGCGAAGCGTCGGAGCAGCGCTGCACCTCCACCGCCATGAGAAAGGCCTGAGCCGGTGGTGTGAGGGAAAGGCCGGTTTTGCAAAGGAGGAAGCAGAGGTTTGTGAGCAGATGGCGGCAACTGGAAGAAACGCATCGGCTGCACTGCTGGTGTTGACTTGGGTCAACTTTAGGTGCTGCTCCGTGCTGAAGAAAAGTGGAAATCTACAGCACAGTGTGAAACACAGAGTGATAAAACTGCCATCAAACCCTCCTTCCTCTGCAGCTCAAGGAAAGGCTGAGGACAACGTCTTTGCAAAAGCCTTTGGATGAAGGAGGGCACAGGGCAGAGAATATCCTATGCTGCCCATCTCCTCATTTGAGGCTCCGATTTGTGCCACTGGAGACGAGAAAGCGAAAACATTCCTCACGCTTGTATGGACCACAGCAGAGACCCCAAGTCATAAGAAAGGGTTTTTTCCTCCCGGCCAATATGCTTTGGTGCCAGCCCAAACCAAAACAAGGGCCCATTCCACCCAAGATGCTCGCAGAAGAAATCAGCAGCATGCTTCATGCAGCCATTGGTCTCAGTGATCCCTATGGAGCCCTCCCAGCTCGGGATGCTCCACGAGTGGCTGCAGCAGCCGTGTGCAATGCAGTGCATGCAGACCGAACTGATGGCAATGGTGAAACACTGGAGCTGAACTCAGCATCAGAAAAAGGAAGCTGAAGGCTTTCAAAAACATTTGCATTAATGTTTTGAATCACAGCGTGACATCTGAGGTCCGACTCCCAGCCAGCAGACTCAGCACTGAGTCCCCAGAGGAGCTCAGACAACGTGAGCTGGAGCTGCTTCACCTCTGTGCTAAAAGGCGACATGTGAAACACATATTGAGATGTCTGAATTTACATGAGCAGTCTCCATGGATGCTGAAAGCCCAGTGCTAACCCTGGCCTTAACCCTGACCCTAACCCTAACCCTAACCCTGACCCTAACCCTAACCCTACCCATCCATAGCCATAGAGCTCCTAAGTCAGCTCTCTGTTTAGGACATGAGAATTACATCTTCCTTTCCCAAAGTTAAATGAAATTAACAACATGAGACAGCCAAGGAGATCACTGACACAACCTGCCAGACCTGCATCCAGGATCCCAGGATGCAAGCCTGATCATATGGAATTAAATGCAAAGAGAATGCTATGGAAACATCCTGCAGCTGAAGTGACCACAAGAAAGGGCTCGATATTTTTTTAATCGTGTTTTAGTTCAGCAGATGACTAACAAAGGCCTAACAAGGACCTAACGCCTTTCCACCTCCTGCCCTCATCCTGCTTGTGCATGCAGCAAGAATCCCATTGCCCAGAAGGAGTGCTTCCAACAGCACCAACCTTCGCTGCTCTCCTGCTGGAAAGAACCCAGCAGAGAACATTTCAGATGCACTGACGCAGAGCACAGCATGGAGCCTGTGAGATAGAAACTGCTGCACACGGAGGTGCAAAGCACAGCAGCAGCAGTTCTATAGAACAGATCCTTTTAAACCTACAGCAAACTGCTCAAACCACGCGAGAAAACGGCTGCTGCTTTATGCCTACCCCCTTCTGTTGGGCTGTGGGCTTGGAGAGGACCCTGGCAGAGCACAGAGGGCCTCCCTACGGGCTGCTGCCCACCTCTGCAGTTCACACAAGAAGGTTTTTGTTCTTACCAACGAATTTCTGGGGCATGGAGCTTTTTCGCTTCGCCACGTTGCTCGCCAGCCTGTCCAGCACCAGGGCTCTCTCGCTCCCCATCTCGGCCTTGATGTGCCTTGCCTCCACGTTGGCTGGGTTGGAAAAGGCGTAAAGAAGAAAAAAAAAGACAAAACAAAAATGGGTGAAAAAGGGGAAAAGAAAAAAAAAAAGGAAGATGTGAATGGTTGAATGTCCAGAGCTTGCCCCACTCGTTAGGAGGAATTGGAGGTCTGTCGTTAAGGTGGGTCGCTGCTTTCTCAGTCGCTGCTGCTCTCTGTGCGGTGGGCAGCGCTGCGGTCAGCGGGAGCAGCACTGAGCACAGAGCCGTGCGAAACCGATGCAAAGGGAAGCGGGAGCCCGGCGGGCCGGACGGGCGGCTGCAGAGCATCGTGGTGCTGGAGTCGGAGCTCGGTTGGCCTTTTTGCTTTGAGTAAGAGCTGCAGACACCTGCAGTCCCAGCCGAGGCTCCCAGCCAGCGCTCAGCCCCACTGCGCTGCTCCAGAGATCACTCACAGCTCGCTCACCGCGCGCCTTCTCACGAAGGGCCAAAAGATGCAAAGCTCTGCAGCGTGGCGCTGAGCTCACGCAACCCCCCGCCATTCCTCACAGCCCATCTTTCCAAGCACCCTCACCGCTCCAGCTCTTCTTTCCATCAACCCATTGAGAATGCTCCCTCCTTTGGCACGCTTGAAAGCATTCGGTGTTCGAAAGCCAATTCAAACCTCCCAGATTTGTCAGGGAAGTGCACACGTGCCCTGGGATCCCTCCCTTGAGCCCCTGGACCGTGGGATGCCCCTGGACCACAATCCCTGGACCGTGGGAGGTCCTGAGGATCCTCCTATTCCCCAGAGCTCTCCTGCAATGCCCACTGCTTCAGGGAAACAGCTGCACAGCAGCAGAGCGGGGTCAGCCACGCTGCCACCTCATCTCACAACTACCCAACTAATAACAAGTGTAACTGCTGCAGCTTCGCCCCAAAAACCAGCGAGTATCGGTGGTGCTGCTTTGCTGTTAAAGGAGCACGGAGGGCTGCAGCGTTAGGGACCACAGCAGTGACAGCTTTTCGGAGCTTGTGCCTTCCTCTTTGCGTTTGCTGCCTGAGGAGGGTGGGGAAGGGCAATTTGCTTTCCCAAGGCAATGCCAAAGTAGGAATGCTGGCTCCTAGTGGAGCACAGAGATACCTGAAATACATGGAGCATCGTCTGCATGAGAGAGCAGCAGCACCAGGGAGCTGTGATACAAACACTGCCATCATCTCAGTCCTGCTAAGTGCAGTTCTGTTCAGCGCCAGGCTTAAATTACAGTTTGCTCAGCTCGAGGCACGAAGGAGCACCATCACCCTTCCATAGCTCTGCATGCAGCACTTCCCTCCAGACCTCCCAGCCCCTCCTCACGTGTTTATTGTGACTGCAGTCGGTATCAGATGGGTTTCGGGCGGCACGAAGCATGACTCACCAAACCTCAGCCAGAACGGGTCGGTGATGTTTGTGCAGCTCCCGGCTGCTGCCAGCTCCTGCGATGAGTCAGGGCAGCCGGGGCAGCAGCACCTCGTGGGGTTTTTAGTTCTGGAACTTGTGCTCCACAAACTGTCTGATCCCTTCTGAGCGCTTCGTGTTACCTTCAGATAACAGCAGCTCAGCTCACATTCACGCTCCGAGCTTCCCCAGCCCAGTCAGCTTCTGCAGCGATTCAGTCGTGATGACGAGTCTTTTGTAACCATTGCTTTTTTAAAGAAAATCCACAACTGCCATGAACAAAGCCACCCCAACACCTGCTGTCTCTCCATTTGCTTTTCTTGAGTAGTTTTTTCCTTTCTAGTTCCCCCTTTTCTCAACCCCTGTCTTTACCATCTATTGCACTGCTAAAGCCTGGATTTCCCATCCCCAGAATCTCTCTGTTCCTCCTGGTGAGCTCGGAGCAGTTCCTGCCATCTCTCCCACCTGCCCTGACACACAGCAGAGCATCAGTGCCCACCTGTCCCCTCAGTTATGTGCCACTGGGGGAACCCCATTCAGTGAGTCAGGGCAGCGAGCAGCTCCCTGCAAAGGCAACAGAGACCTTTGCCAGTGGGCATTTCCTCCTAAAGAAATAAATGACCTCTGTTTATGGGGCATAAAAGCTCTCATCAGCACCTTCACAGCTGAGCTGTAGGGAAACAGGATCTGCTCCCACGGTGCATCGCTTCTCCCAAGCACTGCACTCCCTTCCCCAAACCCAACCCAATGGTTTCACCCAGCTCTGTGCCACCCCCCGAGCACTCCAGGAGCAAAGCCTGGTATTTAGGAAGCGCTCCCTCTCAGCATTCTCTAAAGACTTCTCAAAGGAGGGGAGAAGTCACCAGATCCATCTCATCCATCTCCTCCTGCCATGACCCTCCCCATCTCGTGCCCACACCCACCAGGAGACCCCACTCTGCACCCCGACCCCAGTTTAAAGAACTCATTACCTAATTATAACATGTATCTTAAACATAAACTTCAGGTTTGACTGGCAGAAAGGACCGAGTGCTTTGCTCACAGTTACACTGAGAGCTGAACACTCATAAGGAAACCCCAAAGCCCCTGAAGCCCCAAAGCCAGCACTCAGCCTGTTTCAGCACATGGAATAGGGACGCCCTACAAGCCAACAAGTCCAACAGCAGCCAGAAAACTGAAGTATCTCTACAGATGCTGCAAGAACCCTCTGCAAACACATCTCCCCACCAGCTCTGGTCGCTGTGCAGAGCACGGACAGCAGCACCTCTCCCATACCTCGCTGTTTCCATAGCGTGGTTTCTCTCGCCCCATAAATGAGAGTGTCATTTTTAGAACGTGTGGGCATTGTATTCAAAACCCTCAAGCACAAAGACGAGCTCGAATTAGAGGCATTGCTTCCTGCCACTTCTCAGTGTGGTCACTAAATAATGGAGAGTGGAGCCGAGGCGGGTTATTGTGCAATGAGAACAACGCGACCAGAGATCGTTATCAGGGCCCGAGCAACGCTGCTGCATGATGCTGCTCTTCAGAGATGTTTCCATGCTGCTGCTGGGCCAGGAACGTGCAAACCTCGTGTTAAAAAGCAAGCAGGATGGGAACGGCACTGCTGGAGCCTTGTGGTGCTTTGGATAAGCGGGCAGAGGCACACAGAGCTGGCTCCGCGTGGAAGGGACTGCAGGAAAAGGGATTGAAACTCAAAGCAAAGGGAGTAATGGGAAAAGGGTCAGAAGCCTGAAAGCGATGCTAAAAATGAGCACAAAGTGCTCCTCTCTGGGAGGGAAAAAATCAACCAGGAGCATCAACCAACCCGCCGGGGTCCCCCTCTGCTCCGCGACGCCGACAGCAGAAAACTGAGCGCAAAGAAAACACCTCAGCAAGACAGGAGTTCCTGTTTTTCATCACTCGCTGCTCCACGAGAAACACTGCCATGTGTTTTCAGGAGGGCTGAGAGCACAGCCACGCCGTGCGCTGGAAACTCACGTTTCCTCTGCGACCCCTTTGAGGTCGCTGCGCTGCAGGCTGTGGATACGTGACGTGTCGCTATTCTGAAATGAATGTGAGCCACGAGAATGGTGTAAAAGCAGAGATGGAGGGTGGTATCATGTTTTCCATTTTCCCGCGGTGGACACCTCGGGGCGATTGCCATCGTGACAGTGTGTACTGTAACACAAAACCACAGTCACAACGTGCACAAGTTCTCATGAAAACCAAAACTTGCTGACGCTCACACAGCCAGCGCCTTTTACTGCTGCTGTAAAGCAACGACTGCTTGCTGGAGAGAAGGAGCTCCACGAGCACCCTTCAACCACTGCTTCTTCAGGGTGGTGTCTCAGTGCAGACACACAGACCCCCCCTGCACAGGGTGAGGATCCTCATTGCATGCAGTTACCACTGAGGGTTCTTTGGGTTCCGTGAGCTCTGCTGCACAGCAGCATCGCTGGGCACAGCTTTTGGGTTATTGTGAGACAATTCGTTAACACGGCTGTCTCTCTAAATGTGTCACCTACAGAGGTGCTGCCTGGAAGGTGCTTTAGTTGTATTCAGAGCCACTGTGAGATAAAAAAAGTGATGCCAAGGAAAGCGTTCTGCTGCTGGCTGCCCAGGAGTGCATTGAACCAGACCCTCTGTGAGACACTGCAGCCCCTGAGTCACTGAAAGCCATTGGAGCAAAGCCGTGAGCTAACAGCTCACCAGAAGCCCTGTTTCTAAACACCAGAATGATGTGCACAAAGAGAGAAATGAGCCCTGCCATGTGGGGCACTCACCCGGCTCACAGCCGCCGCTGCCCTGCAGGTACGTGCGGCACCGCTCCTTGTGCTCCTCCAGAGAGCTCCTCTGCTTGTAGCTCCGGCCACAGAACTCACACTTGTAGGGCTTCTCCACTGCAAAATGGAGGGGAGAGTTAAACAGCTGCAGGATCACCCACCAGCCCTGGCACTCAGGCGTACTGCTGGCAGCCTAATGTTCGGCACATGGAGAAACGCTTTACATGTCTGTTGGGATTACGAGCATGGAAACTGCCTTAAAATTGGGGTTACTGGGGTCATATTAGGGCTCCTGCAAAGCCTTCCTCATCCCTAAGCTCCCTAAAGGCTGACCTGAGCTGGTGGCTCCCCTCAGCATCACCTCCCCATGATGCCATGTCCCACCTGCCCGGCATTGCAGCACTGGGTACTTAAAGGATTTCATGAAAGTGATGAAAACGAGACCAAAACAAAACCACCTGTGGGTTCAGTTCATCTCCAAACAACCTTATCAGGAAGCACATTGTGTTCCTAGGTCGCTTTCTTTATGCTGTTTAATTAGCCAGCCCTCAAACTCTGGCCTCGGTAAGCACCAGTTGTGTTGGGAGCACGATGTGCTGTGGGGCTTCGATCACAACAACTGCTCTGGCCCTTGGCCAGACCCATCTCATTCACTCACATCAGGTAAATCTCAATTTTAGCTTGGGTTCTTTGTGAGGTTTGTCTTTTTTTTTTTCTATGCAGCACTGTGCAGAGATAATATCTATCATTTAGAACATCTGCTTTCTTTCTGGGCCCCCTTATAAGACAGGAAATCAAAGAGCAGCACGGTCTGGCTCTTAAAGAATTGGAGGAATTCATCCATTTCTACCCGGCTTGTTACTCACATCACCTCAGCTCTGTGCCTCCGTTTCTCCCACCTGTGCAATGGACACAGCGCCCTACACCAAACTCGAGGGATCGCACCGCATTTGTGGAGCAGGTTAAGAAGTTCAGATGAAAGGCACTACTACAGCGAGGTGCTGCCAGCACCAACGCTGCCTTTGGTTCTGCTCCTACAGGTGTCTGAGCAAATCCAGGGCACAGTCAAATCCCAGGATGGCCCCACCGGGTTCCATTGGGTCCCACTGAGTCTCATTGGGTTCCACCAAGACCTACCAAGTCCTCCGGGGTCTCATTGGGTTCCATTGGGTCCCACTGAGTCTCATTGGGTTCCACCAAGACCTACCAAGTCCTCCGGGGGTCTCATTGGGTTCCATTGGGCCCCACCAAGCTCCCTGGGGTCTCATGGGTCCCACAAAGCCCCCTTGGGTCTTACTGGGTCCCATTGGATCTCATTGGGTTCCATCAAGTCCCACCATGTTTCGTTGGGTTCCGTTGGGTCTCTCCAAGCCCCACTGAGTCTCACTGCATTCTGTTGGGTCCCGTTGAGACCCGTTGGGTCCCACACAGTTCCACTGGGTCCCATTGGGTCCCACTGACACGGCACAGAGCCCTCGCTGCTCTCTGCCAGCTCCTCAGAACCCATTCAGTTGCGCAGGCTTTGCTGACTGTTTTCTGCACGTCGTGTCCCGGTGACACACATCTGAAACACACCGAGTGCCTTTGAAGTCACTTACCAGAATGTGTCCTTAAGTGACCCGTTAGCGCATCCCTCCTCTGGCAGGCATAACTGCAAAGATGACATTTAAAAGGTTTTTCCCCTGTATGTAGCTTAATGTGGCGGAGGAGGTTACCCTTCTGAGTAAAGGAAGCTCCGCACTGATTACACTGGAATGGCCGCTCACCTTAAAATGACATACAAAAAAGGACATTTAATGGTTATGTGGGTATCACGCCATCCTCACACCCTTTCCTTTTTGGAAGGGGAAAGAATGAGATCAATTTCTGTATACAGAAACACACAGCCCTTCCGTTGGCTTCAGTGGGAGTTGGGTGCAGCTCTGGTGTCAGAGCTTCTCATAACACACATATGGAAACCACTGCACAGGTTTTCCATGGAAAGGAGTGGTCTGGAGGAGGCTGATTCCAACAAGCTAGCAACTTTTAGTAAGAGAAAAAAGCCCTATCTCACAGCTCAAAACCAAAGGTGCTCGTTGGTTTGTTGCGCAAGGACGGCACAAAAACACAGCACACAGACTGGAAACGGCAGCACAGAAACCATCTGACCCGTGTGTTGGGGCTGAAATACTGAAATGACACAGTGCCTTTCATCCAAAATCCTTAACACGCCTCACCAGTGCGCTGCTGTGACATGGGGTCCCAATAGGGCAGAGTGGGTAAAGTGAGGCACAGAAACGTCAGCGATTTGCCAGAGACCCCTGTGGGATGGAACCAGGAAAGCCCAACCTCGGCATCCTCTCTCATCCCAGACTGTTATCCTTTCAGTACTGAAGAAGAAGGTGGGATATTTACCGGTGTGGCTACGTTTATGAACCATCAAGACATTGAGGCTGATGCAGGCTAAGCCACAGATATCGCAGGTCATCTTGCCACTCGCTGGCCTGGCGTTGTCATAGGAGCCCAGGTGCCTTTCCAGCTTAATGCCTTCATATTCATTGTATTCTCTGGGGTAGCTGTAAGGTATTTCGGATTCTTCCGGGTTTTCCATGCGCTCAGCATTTAAAGCACTCTCCTCTCTGTCACCGTATTCGCTTTTCACTTTAACATCATCTGCAGGCGAAACAGAGCGCAAAAGTGGGGGGGGAAAACGATCATCTGAGATAAAATACTCACCAAAAATTACATAAACTTGTATCAGTCATCTCCCCAAGAGTTTTGCTTAACCTCACCAAGATAAAGAAACGCAGTCAGACAAACCCCCGTGTGCCCCCAGTGAGATAAGCCCTGCTGTTACCTTCGGTGGATTATTTCCTTCTGCAGACGATAAAAGAATCACGCAGCACAAACCCCACGCGTGCACTCGCAGGTGCTGCTCTGCAGGATGACCCACAGCCCAGAATGACCCACAGAAATCGACGCCACGGGGCGTTTCTGTGAGCTGGGAACAGAGAACGGCGTTGGAAATGTCCTGCGGCGCTTCCAGCATGGCCAAAAACTGCATCTGCTCTGCTGAGACCTCCAGTGATCTCAGGGTAAACACTCTGACCAATTAATTCTAATCAATTGATTCTAAGCAGTTAATTCTAAGCAATTAATCCTAGGCAATTCATTCTAATCTTCAGTTGCCACTGCAGTGTTAATCCAAACACCTCCAAGGTTTTGAGAAGGCTCTGACAAGCTCCATGCAGAACACACAGCTGAGTTTGCTAGCAGAGCTCCAGGGGTGAGCGATGGGTCTCACAATACAAACTGCTGCTGATGCCCAAATTTCCTCTCCCTCCCCACCGCAGCATCACAGCTCGCACTACAATCCTTCCCAACTGATGGGGCAGCTTTTGTCCTGCTGAACACCCACTGTTCTGTCCGGGTTGCGGCTGAGCCTCGAGTTCTGCCTCAAGTTGGGTGAAGGGAAGCATCAGCAGATGAAACCTATTGAGCCCTGTTGGAAAGCATCGCTCTCGTGGCTGCCTGCTGCTCTGCTGAGCGCAGGGCTGGGCAGTCAGCGTGGGGCTGAATCACTGATCCCTTCTCCAAGTGCAGAACTTGGGCTGCCGAGTGCATTAGCTCCGGTTCTGAGTAATAAACCACATCAAATGCTGAGAACAAACAGCAGCGGCAGCGAAAATGAGGCGGTGACATAAAAGACATAAAAACCTGGCAACGAATGCTTCCATGAAATCAGTGTCTTCAGCTGTATTTTGGGGACAGCCGCTCCTCCAGCCTTGGTGTTGGTGCCGTGCTCAGGCGATTGGGACAAAGGTGGAGGGAACAGATGGGCTGAGAGCTGTGTTACCCCGTGCAGGAATTCGAGCAGAGAGGAGAATTCAGGGAGATCCCTTGGAGTTCCCCAGGATGATGGCATCCACTGCCCTTCTCCATCACAGGGAAGCCCAGCCCTGGGGCTGCTTCGCTCCCAACGGCCCACACAGCTCACAGGGGTTTGCTGGAAGGTTCCACGCAGGTCCACCCACATCCCTTCTCATCACCCCTCCTTCAGGACCAGCCCTGCTCCCCAAACCGTCTCTGCCCTGAGGGGATGGTTCTGCTCTCAGGACTTTGGCAGTCAGTTCCTGCACGCATCTCCATCCACTGAGCAGCAACAGCCATCATCAGAACCCCTCCACAGAACCTCCTTCCCAAAACCAAAAAGCTGCATTTCCCCCTCGAAGGCGGCGGTTCCAAAGCCATCAGAGCTGCAGCAGGGAGGCACAGCAGCTGCACCTCGGTGCCACTTTCTGACACAATTTCAATTCCCACTTTCTACTCAACGTCTCACCTTCCGCCTGCACTGAAAGCAATGGCTTCCAGGGGGGGGGGGACGAGCTGCAAGCTTCACGTGAGAGGAGCTCACTGCCGTTTGCTACCGTTTCTCACAGCAGCTCACAGCTTCTCACCCTCCCAGAGCCATGGCAGCATCCTTGAAGCGCAGCACAAGGGCTGAGCACTGCTGGGTGCCCAAAGGAGCATCCCACGCTTCCACCTCTGCATTTCCCACATTGCACACCGACTGCTTGCCATGCATTACTGCCATGTGGAGCAGAGAGTTGCACCCAATCCATGCATTACTCCTTTATGGAGCACATGGATGCATTTGAGCCACGCTTTACTGCCTTATGGAGCACGGCTCAGACCATCTGCAGGGCTACCCCAACATCACACTTCCGTCCCATGTGGGTGCCTGAAGAACCTCAGTTGAAACTGTCCCCCTCCTGTGGCTGAGAGCACAGAGCAGCAGCACTGAGGAAGAGGCTTTGATCAAAATCAGAAACATTACAAGCAATGGAATTTTTCCACCCTCATCTGCAGTCAGACAGACCCCGACCTGGGAGAGGGCAGAGATAAAGAGGAAAGCTCCAACGCAAGATGAGGAGCAGTGCGGTCAGCCCAGACCGAACCACAGGGCCGGGGGGGAGTCTGACAGAGCCTCAGCCCTTCCCCAGCCTCAACGTTGTCTCCATGCACCACCAGAGGCACAGCAAATGCTGCGAGATCGGGAGAAGGGTGCGACATCCCACCCACACCCCATCGCGATGGGATCAGGAGTTTCTAGGCTGGTCCCTCTTAAGCAAGAGGAAGGCAACAGCAAGCAGAAAGGGGCAAGGAACCGAGGGAAAACAACAGCTGCCCCCAGCAATAACAGAGCTGGGTTGTTATCGCAGGAGAGCTGCAGCCAGAACGACGCTCAGCTCAGGGCAGCGCGGGGCAGAGAGCAGCGGCACGCAGCAGAGCAAAAGCAGGAGGGCTGAGCGTGGGGTTTCGCTTCCTGGGGAGGTGGCTGTGAGATGAAAGACGGGCTCCAGAGTAATATTTTTGTTTCACCTGAAACGCTGTAAAAACAATGGGTGCTGGAAAAAATCCAACGCGAAGCAGCGGTGGCGGCTGCAGAGTGAGTCACTGTGAGCAGCGCCGTGTGCGTCCCATCCAGCAGCCAGCAGCACCAGCGGCGGGGACAAGGACAAAGCAGGGCAGCACCAGAAGGGAAGGCTCGGAACAACCCCCCCATGCACACACACCCGGCCGTCATCAGACTTAACGCAGCATCAGATAGAGAAAAAAAAAGACGTGAGGGGTCTGTGGAGCAAAGTTTGGCCTCGGCACAGCAAGAAGCACGAGGCGGAGCACCAGGAGCCACCAAAGGAGCAGCACTGGGGGTGACACCTCTGCTGTGACACCACCGCTGTGACACCTCCGCTGTGACACCTCCACACGTGCAAAAAGTCCACGGGGGAACAAAGGAACTCAATCACGGCGATGTGGCACTTTAACGGTGCCGCTGATTTGCTGCGCCGATCGGGAGATAATGAGCGCCTCGCGGTGCAGATGTTCCCTCAGATTATAGGGAAAAGAAATAAAAGAGGAAAAAGGGAAAAGCGCTTCTCGGCTGCCGCTTCCTAAGTATCCAATTAAACGAATCGTGGAAGCAGATAAATAGTTTGCTGGGTGCTGACAGCTGCGGATGGCATTCGGAGCAGGGCGCGGGGCGCAGGACGCTGCCGCTGTGCGTATCAAGGGGACGCGGTTCTACCAGGCATTAATTAACCTACGGCTCATCCCCAAAACAGCTGCACAGATACGTGGCCGTGCAGGGGGTCCCTTCCTGGACCTTTTGGAGTCCCCAGAGTCACACCGTGTCCCACTGCTTGTAGAGGGATGCGAGGAGGGGGGCTGCAAAATGAAGGGGGGGGAGGGACGCTGCTGGTCGCTTTCCGAGCGTTTGGAGGAGCAATTTCATTAACAGCCGCGTCCTTTTGTTGCCAAAGCGCAATATCTTGTTGTTGTGTGATTATTACAAGAATAACACATATTTTAGAAGCAGAACAATGCCTGTTATCTCAGAGGTGATCTGGGTTGAACCCGAACTCAATCGCAGCCTTTGTTCAGACACAGAGGGGGGGTTTAACGAGGAGTCTGCGTTCCAACCTATGTTTCCAATTTCCTAACCGATATTTCCCATCTAACACCAACTTTCTGCCAACCCATAACAGCATTTCCACAGGACTTTCCTCCTGAGACACGCTGACATGAGACGGATGGAACTGCTGATAAAGGAGAAGTGTTCCCCCTCAGTGGGAGCACGCCGTGCTCCGACCCCACAGAGCCCCCACAGCCCCTCCAGTGCGTTGTCTCCCCGCAAACAATTCCAGTTCCTGGGTCCCTCTGCCCTGCACAGGGCGGTGGATGGAACTGCAGCTCATCCACCCCAGAGCAGATTTCACCTCAATGCCAACAGCAAACATTTCTCCCCCCTTTAATTTCGAGAAGCCCAAAATGAAGGGGCGCTCTGACAGAGCGGTGGGTGTCCCTGCCCAGTGCAGGGAGTGAGCCGGGCGGCCCCATGGCTCCTCAGACCGTGCTGGATCTCTATGAACAGCAGGGGACGGATCTGAAACACACACCGAAGAGAAATTCTCTTCAAGGAGACGGGGAAAAGGGCGCACAGCCCATCCCAGCACCGAAAGCATCTCACCAACCCACCGCACACCACCGCCATCGAGGGGGGAACACGGCAGGAGGAGCGAACGGCGCCGCTCTGCCCCGCACCCGCCCCAGTCCCACGGGCAGCCGATGCCTTCTGCTCCCCGCAGCATTCCCACCCGGCGCAGGGCTGACAGCGGTGCCTCCCCGCTCCGTGCCCCCGCGCAGAGCCCCGCAGGGCTGCACAGCAGCGCTGATGCCGCGAGATAAACCCCGGGCGCAGCGCTCGGAGATGGAACGCGCTGATAAAACGCGGCGCTTCCTCCCCGGGCTGATAAGTGCGTGCGCTCAGGGCTCGGTGGGAGCTCGGTGCAGTTCCCCCGCGTCCCTCATCAGCCCCGCAGCCACCACCAGGTTTGGTTTTGGAAGCACGGAAGGGAGCTGACGTCCGTGCGCCCCAAAAGTTTCAGCCTCTCAGGATGAGGGGAATTGAGGCACAAAGCAACCGAATCCTTGGGTTTGGGTCCCTGGGGGACCCTTGGGTTTGGTCCCCTAAGAAGCGACGCCTTTTCTTTCCACCTGATTTTTAAACTGCAGGGCTCTTCAGCTCCGGGCTGCACGGAGGAATGAGGGACACGGAGCACTCCCCCACTTCTCCCCAGCACCCTCTGAGCAGACACAGGAAGCGAGCGCTGCTCGTGGGGCTGCAGCAGGCGCACACGTGTGCACCGCAGCGCAGCTTCCATCCCCTGGAGGCAAAAGAAGGGCTTTTTTTAATTGGTTTTTGTTGTTGTTGTTGTTGTTGTTGGGTTTTTTTTCTTTCTTTTTTGAATTTTTACGTGCACGTTTTCCATCGCGCTGCGAGTTGCCCCATCACTGCAACCTCCTGCCTGCAGCTGCCGGAGCCTTTCCGCAGGGCTGGGCTGCGCTGCGTCGGCTGCACGGCATCCCACCTCCAGCAGCTGCGGTGCAGAACAAACACAGCCCGCGTGCTCAGCGGCACCAGAAGGGTTTGAAGCAACCCTGCCTCTGCTCGGGGTGAGCGTGGAGGAGGGGAAAACAGAGCTGCGGTTGGATATGAGGAGAAAACTTCTCCGATAGAGCGGTCAGATGCTGCAATGGGTGCCCAGGGAGTCACGGCAGCTGGAGGTGTTCACACACCTCACAACCTGGAGATGCTGTGCTATGGGACACGGCGTAGTGGGGAGGTTCTGGTGGGAGGTGGGCAGTTGGATGATGATGGAGGACTTTTCCAGCCTCAGTGATGCTAAGATTCTGTGTTTCTATGAAACAGTGGTGGGGTGCACAAATGGTTGGCAGTGCTTCGTGAGCTGTGGGATCCGAAGGCAACATCAGATGGCTCTGGGTGTAGGAAAGGCCCAAGCTTTCCACGTTCAATAGTTAAAAACATGAAATGTCCCCTTTTAGGGTCAGTGGAGCAGAACCCACCGGCCCAGACACTGCAGTACACACAGCTTCAATAACAGAGAAGTTGGAAACCCAAACATTTTGTTGCGGCCCAACACAAAGTCATTGAATCACAGAACCATAAAATGGTTTGGGTCAGAAGGGACCTCGAGACCACCTGCTTCCATCCCCTGCCATGGGAAGGGCTGCCAACCTCTCGATCAGACAGACAAGGAACTAACAGAGCCTGGAACACCTCCAGGGATGGGGCTCCCATTGAACATCCCAAACCAGGAGCCCTGCAGCAATCACTGATTCACGTGACGCAAACACTCTGTGTCAGAACTACCAGCCACAGCCACAGCACTGCTGTGCTGCCTGCACCCCCAGCCCCTGCTGCCCCTCAGGGCTGCCCCCAGCAGCACAGAGCATCCATTCCAGGCAGGAATGTTGGCAGTGCTGCAGGTTCAGGCCATGAGCTTCTGGTTCAAGGGAGAAACTCGAGGTTCCTCACCCTGCATGCATGCAGGACGAAGGCACAACAATTTCTCCATCCAGGAGCCAGCAGGAGCTGTTTGTTTTCCATGACACCCAACACATCCTTCCTCACCGCTCCCACGACGCACAGAAAGCCAAGGGACACCCCCCACTGTGTGCCACCCCCACTGTACCTCCTGCTTCTCCATTGGACTGACTGTGCTCCTTCAGCTCCTCTGCATTATCCGTGCCCTCCACCTCCTGCCCTTTGCTCAGGTCGCACTCCTCCAGAACCTCCTGTCCCTCTGGAAAAAGCAAAGCAAATTGGGAAAAGAAATGACTATTTCTGCCACATTGCTTCCGAGCCCCAACCCCCAGCACTGCTCCCTTATTGCTGCACCCACTGCAATTCCATGGAGCCAATCTGTCACCCAAAAGTTGCACACAGATTCCCAGACACAAGCGGGCACCAAATCTTTAATAAATCAAATCATCCCAACATGCTGTGAAGGTTAACAGTCAGACAGCAAGAACAGTGATGCCCTCGTCCTCACAACCCCGTCCCTACAAAAGGGAGGTTGCTGGGGCTGTACCTGCGGCCTTGGGCTGCTCCTGGGGATTGCTGAGATCCATGCTGCTCTGTGAATCTGCAAAAGACACAGAAAACAGCTCTGAGCTGCTGCAGGCTTGCAGAGCTGCTCACAGTGCGGCTGTTAATCTGAGAGCTCCGTCTTCTTCGCTGGAAGCCAAACTGAAAAAGCCAAACTCAAATAATTACCTAATGATCATCACGTCTCAGCATACAGGCTTTTACATATGCCCCAAACGAGAGGTTCTGCATTTCTCGCTCTCAGTGCAACCTGCAGCTCAGAACCGACTCGCCCCCTCCACTGCTCTCCCCTCTGCGCCCCGCGAGCGCTGACACGGATGGAGCAGAAAGCAGCAGGAAGTGCCACAGCCCCTCTTCCGCAGCCGAGGACAGACCTGCAGCCCTTGTGAGAGCTGTTGGCACCGACACGAGCCCAGTTCCCCTCTGGGAGCTGTGATGGGGATCCCATGGGATGCTGGAACCCGCAGAGCCCTGCAGCTGCAGGCTGGCTCCCAGGCTTCACCCTCCTCACGGTGTCACAGCCATCTGCTTCCTTCCTCCTTTCTTTCCTCCCTCTTTTTCCTCTTTTTTTTTCTACAGATCTGAACGTCTTTTCTCCGCTTTGCACATAACCCAGGAGCAGCACCAGGAGGGACAAAGCCCTTTCCTGGTGGTCAGGTAACAGCTCAGCCAGGAGGTGTCAACTGCAGCCCACTGTTATCTATCTGTGCCACCGGCACACATGGAACATTTCTGTGGTCTCCACCACGTCGATGCATAAAGCTCTGTTCACTCTGTGTAGGGAAATGGAGTATTCAGACAGGGCTGCCCAGAGCTGCACGGCTGGATGAGCCCAGCAAGGAAAGCAAGAGGAGATGCACCAACAAGGAAAGCCAAAGGAGATGCACCCAGCACAGCTCTTCAACATTTGGCTCCGTTGCAGCCCTAAAATGGGCACTCTGCACCCATTTCTCAGCAGTGGGTCTCAGAGCCGTGCTGGGGGATGTGGTGTGGGTGAGGGGTTGGGTTGGATTTGGTGATCGTGGTGGTTCTGAGTGGTTCTGGTCTATGATTCTGTGCTGCACACCGTTCCCATCGCCCTTAATGAGCTCTCAGCAAAGAGCAGGAAGAAAAGGAGAGGCGGTGAGGGCGGGCGTTGCAGTCACCCAAACCATCAGCAGCCTGCGCTCCTGGGGCTGTGGACAAGTTGTGAAGCATTGCCAGCTATGAAACATCCCCTGTAATTAAATCAGACCTCCTGTCCTTGCACGAGGACAAGCTTCTCATGGAGCCTCTCTTCCTAGAGACATAAATTCTGCCTTAACTTCTGTCGTGAGAGAATTCACAGGACTGGATAACAAGAAGTTCAAATATCCACTCCATCTGCATCAGAAATACCCAATTACCTCATATTTAAAGCTGCTAATTTGCCTTTGTTTCATTTTACCGTAGCAGGAAGTGCGAAGTGCAGAGAGGCAAATGGGCCCGACGGCCCAGAGCAGCGACACGGAAACGTCAGCTCTCCCTGCTGTGCGTTCTGACCTTACACCCAAATAACGTGGACACTCCATTAAACGAATCCTCACAGCTCTGAAAACAACCAGTGCTTCGGCAAGAGGCTCAAATCGCCGCTATTCCGTGCTGCTTTGTCTGGACGGCTCTGCCTTAACGACCAGCAGGGCACAGCCAGCCCTACGGCAGCGGCTGCACCTCAGCAGCACGGAGACTTTCTCTGTGCACCGGTTGACGTGAAACCATCACAGATCCCAGCCCGCGGGCAACTGCCGGGCAGCACGGCCCTCAGCATCTCCTCTCTGTGCAGAAGCAGCCCGGTCCTTGCATCGCTTCAAGGCTCAGCGTCCATCCACCCCTCCTCCCCCGCCGCGCATTCACCTGAAGAAGCTCCCTGTAGGCTTAGCAGCATCCCCGTGTGAAACCCCCAGTTGTCAACGTTCCATCTCAGATCTCTTCCCCAACTCAGATACTTCAACCCCAACCCTTCACGGCGCTGAACGCGCGCACCCCAACCCCCAGCCCCGCACACAAACTCCCCAGCATTCCAAAAACACGAGGTGGGAACTCACAGAGCGCTTCTGTCCTGGCAGAGAGGGGTCCGAGAGCCACCGGCTGGGCAGCGGGCACAGGGAGGACACCGGGTGCCGTGGCTGCAGCCGAGCACGGAGCTCTGTTACGAAGCAGAAGTAACGATGCTGTGCCCCCGACAGCCCTCCTCGGTCCTCCCGTGTGCCGCGCCAGGAGGCGAAACGAGCACGAATATTCAAATGGGTCGTGAGAGGAGCGGCGAGGCACCGCGGTGCGCAGCCACGTCAGTGCGCCGTCCTGCAGCCCGGCCCGTCCGTAGAAGCAACGGAAGGGTCTGCCTGGATTGTAGCTGAAAAAAGCACTTTGGGCCACGGGATTGGGTAGGGCTGGAGCTGCTATGGCCTTACCTCTGTGCTTCCCGAGCCACACCATTGCCTTCTCACTTCTCGACCCGACAGCGCTGCAGAGCCGACGTCCTTTTACATCCCTTTTGCCGCCGGCCCTCTGAGCGCAGCGCGGAGCACAACAGCCCCCTTCCTCCTCTCGGCCTCTCCCAAAAGGCCCAACGCTCCAAGAGAAAGCAGCCCGGCCCGGCCCCTGCCCGCAGGAAGGCTCCCACAGCCACGGCAGAGCGAAGCAGCGCAGCCCCTCGTGCTCCTCGCCGATTTCCCACTGACCTCAGCAGCGCTCGGAACCCATGGAAACAGAGCAGTGCGGCACTTCTCGCACCCGGAGGTGAAGCCGTTTAACGCTGCCTTCTACACCGATTCCATCCCTGAATGCGACCTCAGCCGGGCTGATCCTCCACCCCACCTACAGCCCCAGACCCGAAGCGCCGTTTCCACGTTAACTCCTGAACGCCCCAAAACAGGAAGGCGAAGCGACTTCTTCAGCAACTGCAGCTACCAGAGGGAGGAAACGAAGCCACGGAGAGCAGAACTGCTGCTGAGATACGGTGGCAGCCCCTCAGGCAGTCCCAGCTAAGTCAGATTGTGTGCGAGATAAACGCAAAATCGCGTTTCAGAGCCCAAAGGACACGGATGCTTTCCAATAGAAAACTGCGCCTAATTCAAAATAACCAAACCCTCGAGTTATCAGCACGCAGAGGAATCCGGGCTGAGGGGTCCCAGCAGAACTCAGACTGCAGCCTCTCACCAAGGTCTTGGGGCAGCATGGGGCGATCCCGGCTCTGATGGGGGCACTTTGTGGAGCTTCCTTTCCTCAACGAAGGAAAGGGCTGCAGCCCCGCACTACCGCACACTTCGGGCTTTCGCTGCTCCCGAAAGCTGCAGGGAGGCTTTGCAAGAGGAAAGCAAGCAGCCGCCCGCTCGTTCCTTAGCGCACACTGTGAAGGCTCACGCGGAGGGCGCTGAGCCCAACCGCATCGGGACGCTGCTGAAATGGGATGGGGAGAAATGAAGGCGACCCCCCGCCGCCGCCTCAGCGCGTCTCGCGGTTCGGTTCCCCCGCAGCCCTGAGCGGCACCGGAGCTCCAACGCCGCGGGGTCGGCGCCGCGCGGCCGCTCCTCACCTGCGCGATCCGAGCGCTCCGCTCCGCGGCCCCGCGTTCCTCCGCATCCGGAGGGAGGGGAACGGAACGGAGAGCGGCGGAACGGAGAGGGGGAGGAGGGCTGTGACCCCGCCGGCACCGGGCGCTGCGGTTAGCTGCCGGGCATGGGGCAAGGGCAGAGGTGAGCCGAGGTTGGGGTGCTCGTTGGAGCTGTTGGAGGAGCACAACGGCGATCCTAGGGGTGGAACAACCCTCCATGGGACGGGCTGGGAGAGCTGAGGGTGTTTAACGTAGGGAGGAGGAGGCTCCCGGATGCCTACAGTAGCCTTTCAGTAATGGTAGGAAGAAGGGGACAGACTCTTTGGCAGAGCCCGCTGTGACAGGACAAGGGGAAATGGCTTCTAACTGAAAGAGAGGAGATTTAAGGAAAAAGATTACAGTAAGAATGGTGAGGGCTGGCACAGTTTGTCAGCAGTGGCAGTGCCCCGTCCCTGCAGACACCCGGGGTCAGGGGATGGGTTCTGGGCTCCTGATGGAGCTGGGGGGGGGTCCCCGTTCAGTGCAGAGTGGGGCCAGACAGCCTTTGGTGGGGTTCCTGCAACTCAAATGATTCCATGAGTCGGGGGGCAGCGCTCCTCCAGGTGCAGTCCCACGGGCAAAGCCAAGGATCCCCCCCACAGGATCCCATGGACCCCAGCCATTCATCCCACCCGGAGCTGGCGAACCTCCAGCTCACGTCTCCGAGCGCAAATTCGTCATGGGATTAAAGGAAAACAATAGGACTTAAAAGCACCATTTCTGCTCTGGGATCCACCACCCCTGCGGCAGCCACACACAGCCGTGCCCACGCACACGAGCAACCTTCCCACGTGGTTTCCTTCGGGTGTCAGTGGCCCCGATGCTGTGGACACGTCACATCAACCACCGCCGATCTCCTCACGTCGTGACACCCCCAGGCGCAGCGCTCCTTGGACTCGGGGCCACGTGGAACGGACTCCACTCTTGGGAGCACCCGAGATTAGCGGAGATAAGACGAGAACCAGGCTCTCTGTTGTCTGTTTTTCTTCGTGAAATAGCGCTGCTGTTGGAAAACAAAGCAAATTACAAGAGCACAGGCTGTGGGAGGAAAGGCAGCCAAGGGAGGGGCCGGGATCCCTCCTCCCAGCGGGGCTCTGTGTGGGGTTGGGATCCCCTCCACTGGGGCCGTGTGTGGGGCAGCCCTGTGGCGGTGAGGAGGGCAGGAAGGGCCGTTGGAACCCCCCCCCCCCCATTGGAACCCGCCGTCCGTTGGCCTCGTGCAGCAGCGGCTGTTGAAGGGGGTTGGCATGGCAGGGGGTGGTGGGAGGCCGTGCTGCCCCCAACAAGCCCTGCTGGGGGTGGTGGCCATCGTGGCAGTGGTGGCGGAGGCACAACAGGGCGCTCCGGGAGCAGGTAGAGAGGGGGGCTGAAGGGACAGCCCCAACCCAGAGGGGCACAGGGGATGCAGGGGGGCTGAGGGATGGGGGCACCTCGTGGGAAGGACCTTCAGCACTGACAGCCATGAGGTGGGGAAGGGTCCGGCTGCGATCCCCCAGCACGGTGCTGGAGGGGCTGCCTTGAGCCCACAGAAGCCTCAGCACCCACCTGGTGAAGCCATCGTGTCACCACCATCCCACTGAGCCCTGGGGAGGCGGGGAGCAGGCAGCAGGATCCTGCCAGGACAGAGCAAACAGCAGCACGGTTGGATTTCTATCTGTAATATTCCTCATCCTTTTCCCTGCAGCAAGAGCTGCACCTGAGGAAGAGCAACTTTCCGTTGGCTATTTTCAGAAGAATATGGTCTATGGCAACGACCAGCGCGCAGGTAAACCTGCCTGACTGCACAAACACAGTGCGAGGCCTCAGGAGGCTCCTGGGATGGCACTGAGGTACCATGAGCATTCAGTAAAGCACTCCAGAACATCGCCCTGATGGCACACAGCGATGGGAAGGCCTGAGCTGGGCAGTGCGGGCATCCTCTGCTGCTGCAGGGGAAGCAGTGATGTCTAAATGAGGGATGGACCTTCAGTGCCCCAAATGCTGCTCTGTGTTCGGCCCTCGGTCATCTCCCAGCTCCTGGGGATGGTTCCTTTCTGCTGCCTCAATCCTAACACAAGAAACAAAGTCGGCCTCCTGCTCTGTGCGCTCCCAAAGTATTTCGTGGTTTCATTCAATCCCTCATCATTGACTTCATCCTCTCACTTTGCAGAAAACGTTTACGTTAAGGTGTTCACCAACAGCCCAACCCTGGTGTGTATGGATTTGACTCTTTCTCAAGATGAAGTAATAGATCCCAGGTACTCGTGGACCGGCCCAGATGGGAGGAATTTAGAAGGTGAGGAGCTCAGTGCTGCCCACACGGCGTTTCTGCTCTTCTCCCACTGCCTGAGCTGCTGTTTCCATGCTCAGGTGTGGAAATGGCCCCTGGGGGGGGGGGCTGGGAATCGGGGAAGCTGGGGCAGGAAACCCACACACCTCTCCTTGCGAGGGGAAAAGCTGAGCACAAATGGCTGGGTAGAGGCTGCTGCACCCAAAATCACATTTTCCTTCTTCCTACTGATGCCGCTCTGTACAGCGGGGCCGAAGCATCGCACAGCCCTTGGGTTTGTCCCCCAAATTCTGGCCTTGAAATACGTTTCCTTTCTCTCTCTGAAATGCTTGGGATGAAGGGAAACATCGCCCCAAGTCCCAGCTCTCCAATTCAGCCCATTTCAGACTAAAAGAACTCAGAGTGCCGCAGAACAGCACCACACACCTCCTCCTCTTCGACTGCGTTGGATGAGCGCAGCACAGGATGCCAAGCATCCCCACCCATCTCAGCCCTCCTGCTTCCATCCTAGGGCAAGGATACGTGAACCTCACAAGCTCTGGGGAGCTGGTGCTGCTGGGCTTCCAGGAGTCCATGTCTGGAGCCTACAAGTGTGCACTTTCCCACAGAATCATAGAAACCTCAGCACAAAAAGAAGTAGCTGTGACCAACACCTACAGGTTCATGGTGTACGGTAAGGTGGCAAGCTGATGCACTCAGCCCTTGTGGTTCTTTGGGTTTGTGGCAGGCCTGTGGATTTCAAAGCTTGGTGAGTGGAGTGCTAACATCCTATCCCTGTATGTATTCGTACATTAAATAACCGCCACCAAGAATATATGGCAACTTCAAGAGTAAAACGCAAAGCTCCGTCCTCCACGAGAACCAACCCACCTACACAGCATCTGCAAACCAGGACTGTATGCCTGTGGTCCTGAGCAGCTCCAGCACTGCTCAGGGTGTCCCCACCCCACAGAACCACAGCACCCAACCTCACCTCGTCCCCATCCACACCACGACACCACAGATGTGAAGGGAAGGGGGGCACCGGGCTGCGCCCCGCTCACCTCCTGTTTCTGGCAGCATACAGGGAAGCCAACCACGTGTACCAGGTCTCGGTCCGTTTCACTTCGAAGGGATGTGAGCTGGCAGCCAACGCACGGTTTGTGGAGGAGCTGAAGAAGATCCTGGAGGATCTCATCTCCGAGCTGATGAGCCGCGTGGAGCAGCTCTCGCACCGCTGCCATTCCCTCGAGGTTCCCCACCGGGGCTCCCCGAGCGAACTCTTCATCACTTTTCAGGGTAATGGAGGAGCGATGGTTTCAGGCACCGAGCACCGCGCCGTCACCCCCGGGCCCCCACGAGGCCTCTGCCCTCCGCAGCCGCTGCGTTTTCCCTTCCCAGCCCACAGATGGAGCCAGAACGCAGCGGCGGCGCTCGGAGCGCGCAGAGCAAAGCGGAGCTCCAAAGCCCCGAAGCCCCCAGGAGAATTCAGCCCGGTGCCACCCCCGACCCCCCGGCACATCTCATCTCATCTCCCCATCACCGCTCCCGATCCCGGCGGCACAAATCGGTCCCGCTATGGGGCAGCACCGCCGCGCTCCCTTTCAGAAACCAACACCCAGCAAACGGGGAGCCTTTCCCAAAGCTCTGCTGGGCAGTGACGAAGAGGAGGAGAAATCCCCGTCCTTCACACGCGAGAGGGAAAACGAGGGGGGCGAGAGGGCGAGGGGATCACAGCAAACACCGAAGAAGGCGGCGCGGATTCCATTTGTCGGTGTTTGTCCTGGAACAAACCCGAAGATGCAGGCAGGGCATCGGCTGCAGGGGATCCCCAAAGGAACCCCCGTGGCCACGCTTCTCTCCCCACGCAGTGAATCCCTTTGCTCCGGGATGGGAAGATCTCTGCAGCCGCCTCCCTCAGGACTGCGAGGGCACCGCGAACCACAGAGCTCAGCAGGTTCTGTGCCATCCCCCCCTGCACCCCAAACCCCCACCCTCTGCCCTGCAGTGGGGTCACTCAGCAGCCCCAGCACTGATGGCATTAATCCAATGGCAGCTGATGGAGGCTTGGATAATTAAATTCCAGATGGGAATTTGCCTTTAAATGGTCAGACTGATGCATTAAATACAAATAATTAAGAAAAATGTTATGTCAACCAGCTAAACACAAGGAATTGAATACAAACATTTATACCAGCACACTTCAGTTCTCTACACCAAACCCCAGACCTACGATTCTGTAAATGGGACAGGATGTGGAGCAGCTGATTTCGGAGCCGGGTTAACACTGACAGCAGCACACATCACCCAGCACACCCCCACCAGCCCTGATTTCCCCCTCCATGAAGTCTTCACTCACGTTTTTAACCCCAAACCAGCGGGCACTTCTCTTAATTTCTCCAATGTTTCCGTATTTCAGGCAAGAGAGCGAATAGGAGAGTTTTTCAGGAAGCAGACTTACGCTCTGAAGCACCAATTTCAGACCATTCCTGCCATCCATTACGTGGAGGGCAGCTTCTCCGTGACCCCCATCGACAGCTGCCGCCCAGGATTTGGGAGGAACACCGTCACCCACCGGAGCTGTGCCGGCTGCTGCGGTAACGGGGCACCCATGGGGTCACATTGCTGCCATCAGAGGGCGCTCAGCCCATGGGTGGCATCAGAATTCGGGTGGGTTCCCATTCAGCTTCGATGGGCTCTGCTCTCTTTGCAGTGGTGTGCAGCCCTGGGACGTACAGCCCGGACAGCGCTGGCAGCTGCAGGCTGTGTGTGAGGCAGCGCGCTGCGCGGTACGGAGCCAAGTCCTGCCCATGAATGTGGCACAGAACGCAGAAACAGGAGGTGTGAAAGCATCGTCGGCCTCCTGACGGCCTCTTGGTGCTGAGCTCCTGGTCCTGGAACTCTACACGTGGTTTTTGAGCAGCGGCCGAGCTCCTCCTGCGTTTCCTGCATTAAATGGGGTGTTTGTTCGGGGTAAAGCAATCGCTGTGTGTCACAGAGCTGCTGCTGCTCCCTGGGCTGATCCCAAACACCACGCTGCGTCTGGGGGCACGGAGGGGTCCTGGCAGAAGAGCAGGACGGGGTTGTGTGTGCTGGAATGCCATGAGAAGTTCCTCAGGTGTGAAGCACCAAATCCTCGCCGTTTAGGAACACAAACGCGTTTCTCTTGGTTTTCCCCTTTTCTTTACATCCTGAAGGTTTTGTTCTGCCCAGGGCTGGGTGGTTCCTTGGGAAACCACTGCTGATGCTGCGGGGCCTTCAGCACTGTGCATCCGCCGACCATGGGGAGGGGCTCTGAGATGGGCCTTAATGAATTCGGCCCTAACGAGCTCTGCAGTGCAGGTGGGAGATGAACAACATGATGCCCTTATGGCTCAGCCTTTCTGCCAGGAAGGAGCGGCGCAGCAGAGGGAAGGAGGGAGAGTGGACATCCAGGGAGGGACGGATGGAGGTTCCTGAGCCTTCTCCACTAGGTGCTGCTGCATCCTCTCCTCCTCCATCCAAGTATGGGAGGCACAGCCCCACTCACTGCACGGCAGCTGTGAGCTCCTGGGATTGGCAGCGGGTCGAGATAAGAGCTCCCAAAGCACTGAGATAACCGGGGAGCTCAGCTCAGCAGAGATTTGCTCCTGCCCGCTTTGGACGGGGAGCTGCTGTATCTGCAATCGATTGTTTTGCTCATTAAGCTGCATTAGGACAGATTCGACTCCAGTGCTTTCAGTCCATCCCCAGCAGTGCTGCCTTCCCACCCATCCCACGCAGCGCGGAGCTCCAGCAGCCGTTCATCAGAGCTGCCGCCCTCCCGTCTGCCCCTCAACCTCCCCAGGGGGCACAGAGTTGTTCCCAGCCCCTTCTGCTCCCCGCTGTGGCACAGCTGAGTTCCCACCACGCGCAGGGCAGCAGCCCCAGCTCAGAGCACGGAGCTCTGTGCCGTCAGCCTGGCTCTGCGCTGCTCCAACCCACACAGATGAGCGGCTCCCTCTGGGTGACGGCCGCGTCCCGCAGCACCCAGAAATCCCTCTGTGGGTATTCATCCAAAAACCGACCAGATTCCGCCCGGTTCAGCTTATCTGTGCTGACAGCCGGGCAGCAGAAGGCTGTGTGGGCACAGACCGTGCTCAGAGCTTTTCGGAATCATCGCTTATGAAGTGCTGATGGATAAGATGTGCATCTGAACCGCCCGTGGGGTGGCTGCTCCCACAGCCAACTGGACCCCAGTGCTGCCTGGGGGGACGCAGCAGAAGGGCTCTGCTCCCTGCACTCCTCTTTGCCAGCAGAGGAATGTCGCAGCCATCAGCTGTTAGGTGAAGAAGCAGCAGGCAGGCACTGAGCACCATTCAGTGCTCACCACCCTCTCCTCCAACCCATTTTAAAGCAGTGGGGTTGGAACAAAATCTCGCAGCAGTTTAGCCTTAACACCGTGGAAAAGTGAATCAAAGCTTTTGGCTTCGGAGGAGTCTGTGCCATCAGACCAGTGCAGGACACAGTGCACATCTACAGGACGGAACCTTTTCTCTTCCACAACCTCAACAGCTCCCAAAGGGGGTCCCAGCCCCCCCAGGCTCTCCTGAAACCCGGCCTGGGGTGAGGATGGGGGAGCCCTGATGGCAAACAGATGGACGTGAGCTGCAGGAAGATGACGGAGGCTTCATCCCTGCCACCAGCTGGGGCAGCCTGCCCAAAACCTCCCCGTGTCCCCGCAGAAAGGCTCCAGAATCCTCCTAAAACCCTCCCCAAAAATCCCCTCCAGAACTTCCCCTAAAATCTCCCCCCAAAATCTCCCCATAATCCTCTCCAAATCCGCTCCAAATCTTCCCCAAATTCTACCCAAATCTCCCCAAAACCTCCCAGGAATCTCCCCAATTCACCCCCAGCGTTCCCCCCAAATCTCTGCCCAAATCCTCCCCCAAATCACCCCCAGACCTCCCCAGACCTCCCCCCTGGCCCCACAGTGCTCTCAGCCCCCTGCCTGCCTGCGTTTTCCTCTCAGCCCCGTCCCCATAAGGGCAGCATGGCAGGATTAACGCCTCCTCTGCAGGCAGCGAATGGCCGTGAGTCGCTGCTGGCAGCGGTGCCACCGTAAATGGATTTTTTTGTGTTGAAAATAAATAAATATGATCCTCTGGAGCTGGTGGGCTGCTGGCAAAGCATGGGTCGGCCTTCATCGCTGCGTAACCGCCGCCATCCGTTCTAATTATTGATAAATATTTTGTATAATTGTGGAAATTAAACAATTAGACATCCTTCCTTCCCTCTGCTAAATCGAATCGCTGCGAGGCTCAGGACGTGGTCTGGGGCTGGCAGTGGTGCACAGACCCAAAGGGATTTGCTTCACCATCCCACACAGCACCCCTGCAAACACGGCACCCTCAACCCTGGGACAGGAGCTGGGGTTATTAGCAGCACCGCTAACGAAGGGCTGCACTGCAGCCACAGCCTCAGAAGCCCATCATGGAGATGTGGGGGTTCCAGCCGTGCTGCTCCCTCTGCCATCACCGATCCCGGCTGGTAAAACTGCAGCACGGCCAGAAACAAATCACCCAGAACTCAGCGTTGCAGGGTGCTGGGAGGACCCGTCCCCATCCCCGCTACCCCCACCCCAATAGCAGCCAGGGCAGGAAGGAGGTGGGAGCATTGGGACGGGGGCTGGGGGACGCTGCAGGGGGCAGCATCGCTAGGGCAGGTGCTAGAGACCCCCCCCAGCGGGCAGCCCGGTGCTACGCAGCCCCCTGGGGGGCACCAGCGGGAGCAGGAGGGGGGGGGGGGGGGGCTGCAATCTGTTCATGGGGCGGCTGCCATCTGGTCAGGGCTGGGGGCAGCCGGGTGAGGGGGTGGCTGAGGTCCTGCAAGCGGGATCTGTCGCTCTGCGTTAGGTCTGGGATTGCTCACCTCCCGGTGCCCCTCCTCGGCACAGTGCAGGGGACCTCGCAGGGATTATGGGGACAGCTCGTCCCTGAGCCCTGCGCCACACCGTGGCCCTGCTCTGGTGCAGCGGGGACGGGTGGGCAGGGAGCTGTGCAGCAGCCACGAGAACGGGGCACGGCGCGGTGACCTGAGCCGGCAGGGCTCATTAATTCCATGCCAAGGTTGGGTTACCTGCAAGCTTGGGTGTCCTGTTTCTGAGAGCCTCACGCAGCAGCAGAGCCCTGCAGGCGTGAGAGAGATGCGGGCACCTTCATCTCCTCCTCGTGGCCCGGGGGGGGTCACTGGGGGTCCCCGACACGAGCAGCACTGGTGTGAGGTGCGACCACCACCGTCTCCAAAGTAAAAGCCAATTTATTGTCGTATAAAGTAAGAACATAAAAGGTCCCTTAAAGAAAACACTCCTCGGGAGATGGTGCCCCGGGGGCTCGGTTCGGTTCCCCCCACCCCTGTGCTCCACCACGGGGAGGGGGCAGAGGGCCGGGCCGAGGATGTTTGTGCGCTGGGGCTGTGCTGGGGGTGTAGGCACTTGTGGAGGGCACGGGCTCCCCACAGCCCCATCCTTAGGCACCGGGCACCGGAGGGATGGAAGGGGCCCGAGCCCCGCCGGCCCCAGATGTGCAGGGCGGGCGCTGCCGGAGGTGTTGGAGCAGCTTTGGTTGGTGCTCTCGGTGAGTTAAGGCAGTTGAGCTTCAGTTGGTTTTAAAAAGGACAAAATCAGAGACAGGAGCCCGAGGGGCAGGCGTGGGCTGCCTTCACCCCGAGGTTCCGTGTGGACCCTGCGTGCCCCATCCCTGACGCCGACCCCAGGAGCCCAATAGAGAGTGTCAGAAAGGGACATGTGGGGCCGAGGGGACGTCCGGGCTCCTGGCAGCGGTGCAGGGAGTGGGAGGAGGCGGAGGAGCGGCGGCCTCGGCCCCATCCCAGCGCTGTCACAGTGAGCGGTCGCAGCCGTGAGTCCTTGAGAGAGAGCGGAGCTGCAGTGGGGTGCAGTGCCCCAAAGCACCGACCCCGTGTGTCCTCGGACCCCCATCAGCACCCACCGCCCTCAGCACGGAGCACAGCCTGGGGGCTCTGATCCATTTTCACCGTAACACTCAGAGGGGGAGGTCCCCACTTCACCCCGCCGCCCATCTCAAGGTGAGGGCAGCGACGGGGCGGCAGCTCCAGCTCAGGAAACGGGAGCTGGGGCCGTTCCCCACCGCAGCATCCCTCCACCCCCGTCCCTTCGTCCCATAGGGCTGCACCCCCCTGCCCTGCAGCTCCAGGAACATCCCCAGGGCAGCAGAGGGTAAACCGGAGGGGTTTAAAACACCAACGCCGTTAACGCCCCGGGGAAGGCTGCAAAGAAAATCGAACAGTTTCGAACCGAGTCCCGACATCCGGAGCGGCGCCGCGTGGTGGGGGCTCAGTTCTCCCCTCTCGCTCTGCGCCCATTGCCAGCAACCAATAACTGAGAACCGACCGTCGCTCCCCACCACGGCCGTGTCCCCAGGAAAGCCACGACGACGTCCCGCCGCCCCCGGCCCCGCTCACACCACAGTGCTGATGGTGGACGATTCCTCCGAGTGCCGCTGCTTGCTGGGCAGCGATTTGAGGTACTCCAAGTGCCGCCGCGCGTCCTCCTGGTTCTGGCGCACGTAGTACACCAGGTAGGAGATCACCATGGCGAACCAGCCGAACATGGTGACCAGCATGGCAATGTCCGTCGTCTTTTTGTACACGTTGCAGAAGTCCGTGTCGGCGATCACCTGCAGGAAGGCTTTGCCCACGTGCTCCTCCTGCAGCGCCGAATCGCAGACGATGCCGGCGGAGGAGCCGGCCGTCAGATCCACGGCGCGGATCAGCTCCTGCAGCCGGCAGTCGCACAGCCAGGGGTTGTTGGAGAGGTT